TAATACAAAGTATTGAATAGTGTATATTGTGACAAATTGGTATAGAGCTGTACATATTACATAATGAAATACATGCTACTGATATATAAATAACGATATATCCAACATCCAGACATTTTCCTGGGGCCCCGCACGGGGCCCGCAGCCCGGAGAGAGGAAGCCGAGCCTCGTCCGCAGCCGGCCGCAGGAGGGATTCTTTCCCGGTGTCCGGCTCTGGTGGCCCGCTGCCGGGGCAGGCCCTGGGTCCCTGGCATTCTGGAGAATCCGGTGGTTTGCGTGGTGCGGAGTGCTGGCCGAGGCGGCCCGCCTGGCTTGAATCCCAGTCCTGCCCGTGTTGAGCCGCCCGCCCTGGCGTGCGCCCATGGTGGTCAGGTTCTTCTGGAGACAAAGGGGGACGGTCTTTGGGTCTCTCCTCGAGGCCAGGTGGGGTGACACGGAAGGCAGGTCTCACACAGAAATGTCACAGCAAATGGGTCCCAAGGAGGAGTCTGGACTCCCTTCCAAGTCCAAGTGCCCGGTCTCAGGCCTCCAGGCTCTTGTCCATGTCCCGTGCATGCGTTCATGTGTGTACATGCGTGTTCGCAGGGTGGGGTGGCAGAAGCCCAGTGGGAGCTGCAGGCCCAGGGCCCCTCCGGGAACGCCAGGCTGCCAGGTCCCTCAGGCTCCCACACCCTACCGGGCAAGGGGAAGAAGCGGACAATATTTGAAGTCAACCGAATAAGGTGTCTTCAGTCTCTCTCCCTTCACCCATGAAAACGGCCGCGTGACAGGCATTGTGATCGTCCACGGGCCGTAGTGCAGATCTGAAGGGCTGCCTCTAGCACGGTGGTTCCCACCGGAGGGGGCGCTGTCTCCCAGGGGACACGCGGCAGCATCTGCAGACACCCTTGGCTGTCACAGCAGGAGACGAGAGAGCACTTGGCATCCAGGGGGGACGCTGCTAAATACACATGACAACCGGGCACAAGGAATGGTCCGGCCCCAGTGTCAGCGGTGCCACCCAGCTGCTGGCCCAGGGCCAGCGCTCGTAAGTGTGGATTGTCGTCAGCGCTGTTGCTGGTTTCACTGTTCGACATCCGACAGAGGCGCCTGACCTGGGCGTGGCCTCACCCCGTCCTCCCGTGGTGTCTCTGGGCACTGCCTCGTCCTCAGTTACCCTCACTCATTCAGCTTCACCCTCCTGCCCAGCCCCATGTTGTCCCCGGTCCTACAGGGGACCGGGGCGGGGGGGGGGTTGGCGTTTGGGAGGAGATTCAGCTGTCCCTCTGTGTCTCAGAGGCCTGGCTTTGGTCCTCACCTCTGTTATTCCCCATCCTGCCCCCCACCCCATCCCCAGCACCTGCACGCACCCCACCCCCATGGCAGCTCAGGGGGCTCCTGCCCCAAAGAGTAGTGTCTCTTCCCAGTGACCCCCAACCCGGTGACGGGAGGGAGTCGCCCGTGGTCAGGGCAGTGACGGGCCATTTAAATTAAAACACCCTCTGGACGTTTCACAGAATCATGAGTCATCTTTATCCGTAACACACAGGAGAGTCCCTGGGAGTGAGGACGATATTGATGAACCTTAAACCTTTTTTTTTGAAGAGGAGCGTTCTCCTCTGATCTGGGGTCAATGGCCTCTGGACAAAAGGACACGCGGGGGCAGCTTCTCGGCCGAATGACTGTGCAGGCAAAGACGGCTGTTTCCTTCAAATTGGCATTTTCTTCTCATTCTGAGGGATGCACGCCCCTTGCAGAGTGTGGGTGAGGCGGTTTCAGTGAAAACCGAGACCTTGTGGCGTGTCATGGACATCTTGCTGTGTTTCACTCGCATCTTATTTCGCACGTCGTTACTCTTCCAAGTCCCATTCCTGATGGCCACACAGCCGTCTCGTGGGCTGAGCCTTGGGTCGCTCACCCTTCCCCTTGCATTTGGCCATTTGAGGCCGCAAGGGGCACAGGTGTGGTGTGAAGTCCGGTGCGGCGGCCTCCCTGTGCCCTCATGCGGTCACTCAGGTGACGGGCCCTCACCGCACCTGCAGGTCTGAGTCGCAGTGGGACGTGAACCCTCCCAGGCCTGCCGTGGGCAGAGGGTCACAGGGGGGACCCCAGCCGGAGAAGACCGGCTAGCTTCCAGAGCCACCTCCCCAGGACGCCCAGGCCTCACGTCTCAACTCACATTCCTCATCCCGGGCTATTTTGCTAAAATAGCTAAACCAGAGGGGCTATTTTGGAAACTTCTATAAGCAAACTAAGCCCTGGCTGGCATTTGAGCGGATATGAAAGAGCCCTAAGTGAGGGGCTCGGGCATAAAAGCTGCCCAGCCCTGGGAGCCCAGCCGTTAAATTTAGAAGCCTCACCTCCAAATGAGGTGAAATTGCAGGTTCCCTCCGGCGGGCGGTGGCTCCGGCCGGCGAGAGCACAGATTTAGTGGAGAGGGCTCAGGCTCCCTGCACCGGCCACACGCTGGGGCAAGAGGCCCGGACAGTCCCCAGAGTCTGGGGACAGCTGGCTGCGTGAGAAGCCCCTCCAGCTGTCTGGCTTCCCTGCGCCCACCAGCTACGCCCCGCGTCCGGGTTTCCAGGCCAGAGAGAGGCAGCGAGGGACACCCGGGTAGAGGCAGTCCTGTCTGCCACTGAAGGTTTGGGACCTGCATGACTTCTGTGCCTGTCTCCTCTCCCAGGGGCCAGCGAGGCCTCTGGCTTGTCCCTCCAGGGCTGCTCTGCTCACAACCCAGCAGCTAGAGGGTTAATGCCAGGCGCAGCAGGGGAGGGTGAAGGAGGGGGCCTGCAGGCGGAGGGAGTCTCCCAGGTGCCCAGTTCTCAGTGGTCAGCACCCATCTCGAATAATGATTAAACGGGAATATAACCCTTGGTCAAAGGTGACCAGCCTTCTTTGGGGCTGGTCAGGGGCTGCCCCTGAGGGTGCCTGAGATTCCAGGGGTCTCAGCTAGGCCCCCCTCAGTCCCCTTCACGCACCTACTTCCATTCTGAGGCCCTCGCCTCCCCCTCAGCCTGGGTCTGGCTCACGGCAAGCGGCAGCCAGGGCAACTTAGCATGGAGTGGCCGGGCGCTGGAGTCTGTCCTGCCCAGGTTCAAATGTCAGCTCTGGGGTTTCTTACCTGCGTGACCTTGGATGAGTCATTTGCCCTTGTCTCTGAGCCTCGGTTTCTTTATCTGCAAAATGGGAATAATAATCGTACTTGCTTCCTAGAGTGTGGGGGAGAACAGATTTGAGCCCTCAGAGCAGGTAGCGGGCAGAGTGCCGGCTACCCAGGGTCGGCCGTCAGAAGCTGCTGCTTTTGAACATAACGTATGATTGGGGCACAGCTATGCTCATTCATGTCCGTGTCGTCTGTGGCTGCTATTGCTCTAAACGGTCGAGCTGAGTTGTTGTGACAAAGACCATATGGCCTGCAGAACCGAAAAGATTTCCTCTCTGGTTGTTTGCAGAAAGCGTTTGTCCACCCTTGGCGTCTAGCATGTTGCGGAAATTCGTACTTTTCTACCCTCATCTTTGTTCTCCTACTGTCTGCAGAGCCCGGTGACGTGGGGAGGCAGCCTCAGCTTCCGGTCCCTGTCCTCTGGTCCCATGAAGATGTGTTGTGAATCCCCCCAGACTCCCCCCCGGCTGTCCACACCCCACCACTGACTTGGCCATCTCCCTCCCTTCCCTCCTGTTCCCTTGCCCAGCCGGGGGGGAGGAGGTCAAGCCGTTTGAGAAGGTTCACCCAGAGCAGGTGCTGAGGGTGGTGGGGACAGATGCATCCTGATACCTGCTTACCCATCAGCAGGGAAAGAGCCGAATGTATTCCAGGCAGAGGCCCCGACCTGAGCAAAGGTGTGGAGACGGGGCTCCGCTGGGGTGCAGGCGGTGTGGAGTGCAGGGGCCTCACCACAGGACCAGGCGGGAGTCGGTGGGGTGGGGCTTTTCCATAGGTTTGACCTGGGCACTGGGGTCTCTGGAACCCCGGCGGCCCCGCCCTGGCTGAGGAGTACGGCATGAAACCGTAGCAGCAGAGATTTAGGTTAGATACGGAGCAGAGCTCTCCAAGGTCCGGGCTGGAAGATGCCCGGAGATAGTCCCGAGGGATGCGGTGGCTTTTTCCCATCTAGAGATGGTATGGAAACAAGAGAAGACACCAGGTTCTAGGCTGGCCTCATTGCAGCCTGGGTCAGACGTGGGGCAGTGGGGCAGGGGCTTCTGGGAGCCTTGGATGCCTGCAGCCTGCTGATGGGAATTGGGCTTTGTCACCCCCTGCTCAAAACCCTCCTATGGCTCCAGGTGCCCTCGCCCCGTTGTAGGCGGACGTTCTCCTCCGTGACCTGCGCTCTGCTGGCCTCCAACCTCACCTGAACATCTGTCTGCTTCTGGGTTACACCATGTCAGCTGCCTCTCCTGGCCTGACCATGCTGTTCCCTCTGCCTCAGAGACCCTTCCTTCTCCTCCCCTCTCTCCTCCTCAGCCTTTCCTTCTCAGCTCTTGGTCGCCTCCTCCATGGCCAGGCCAAGGGCCCCCTGGTTACAGTAGGAAGTCCACTATCGACTCCCTCCTGTAACCGTCCGGGGCTCGCTGGCCGCCTTGCTGGGCGGGGAGCCCCGAAGGGCAAGAACTCGCCTGTCTGCTCAGGGTGTGTTTCCAGCCTGGTGTCTGGCACACAGTAGGTGCTCAGTGAGGATTCGAGGGGGGGTGAGGGTCCCTGGCAGAGAGGAGCATCAGAGGGGGAGGGAGAGGAGCTGGGGTCAGGAGCTGCTGTCTTCCCCCACACAAGGACGCAGCATTACTCGGGCATTAAGAACCTGAGCAGAGTAGGGACCTGGGTTCGAATGTCACTCACTCCTGCTGTTCTTCCCAAGTCTGTTCTCTAACCTCACCAAGACTCAGTTTCCTCATCTGTGAGCTGGGGACAGTACTAGCCACGCCCTCTCTGTCGTAACAGCCTTGGAGGCCATGGTGGAGGCCGTTGGTCAGCTCTCACCAGGTGGCGGTGCCAGGCTGACCGTCCTGTCCTCTCCCTGTAGGTGACAGCCATGTCGGTGAGGGTGCGGTTCCTGTCCTCCGGGGACGCAGGGGCCGTGGGGGTCGTGGGCCGGAGCGCCTCCTTCGCGGGCTTCAGCAGTGCGCAGAGCCGCAGGATCGCGTAAGTTCTGCTGGGGGGCTGGGGGGCTCTTTCCGGGGCTGGGCAGGGACAGCAGGGACCTCCTCCCTCCGCCAGCTGTCCTGAGGCTCACTCCCACGCCAGGCCTGCAGCCCAGGACAGAACGTGCGTGGTGGTGGGTCGTGTGTCTGTGCGTCTGTGACTCTCGGTGTTGGAGAAACCTATCTGGCCCACCTGGCAGAGCACAATACCGAGGCTCAGAGAGGTGGAGCCACTCACGCAGGGTCACACAGCCAGACTGACGCAGGGTTGGAACTCGGGCTCCTGGGGGCGGGGTTACGATGGAACGTTCTTCCTGCTTGAAAAAATGGGAAACGGAGCCACCGACCCCAGCTCTGTGACCGGGGCAAGTGACTTCACCCCTCTGAGTCTTGGTTTCCTCGTAAGTGAAATGGGGACCACAAATGTCCCTCCCCCACGGGGTTGTCACGAGAGCACAAGAGGTGCCAGATGGCAAGCAGCTAGCACACGCCGGCACACACCTGGCACACACCGGCACACACCTGGCACACACCGGCACACACCTGGCACACGCCGGCACACACCTGGCACACATTGGCGCACACCTGGCCCACGCCGGCCCACACCTGGCCCACGCCGGCACACACCGGTGCACACCTGGCACACACCTGGCACACATTGGCACACGCCGGCGCACACCTGGCACACACCTGGCACACACCTGGCACACTCTGGCACACACCTGGCACACATTGGCACACGCCGGCACACACCTGGCACACGCCGGCGCACACCTGGCACACACCTGGCACACACCTGGCACACATTGGCACACACCTGGCACACATTGGTGCACACGTGGCACACATTGGCACACGCCGGCGCACACCTGGCACACACCGGCGCACACCTGGCCCACGCCGGCACACACCGGTGCACACCTGGGACACACCTGGCACACACCTGGCACACTCTGGCACACACCTGGCACACATTGGCACACGCCGGCGCACACCTGGCACACTCTGGCACACACCTGGCACACATTGGCACACGCCGGCACACACCTGGCACACGCCGGCGCACACCTGGCACACACCTGGCACACTCTGGCACACACCTGGCCCACGCCGGCCCACACCTGGCCCACGCCGGCACACACCTGGCACACACCTGGCACACATTGGCACACGCCGGCGCACACCTGGCCCACGCCGGCGCACACCTGGCCCACGCCGGCACACACCGGTGCACACCTGGCACACACCTGGCACATTCTGGCACACACCTGGCACACATTGGCACACGCCGGCACACACCTGGCACACTCTGGCACACACCTGGCACACATTGGCACACGCCGGCGCACACCTGGCACACACCTGGCACACTCTGGCACACACCTGGCACACATTGGCACACACCTGGCACACATTGGCGCACACGTGGCACACGCCGGCGCACACCTGGCCCACGCCGGCACACACCTGGCACACATTGGCGCACACCTGGCACACGCCGGCGCACACCTTCCCCACGCCGGTGCACACCTGGCCCATGCCGGCACACACCGGCACACACCTGGCACACTCTGGCACACATTGGTACACACCTGGCACACGCCAGCGCACACCTGGCACACACCGGCGCACACCTGGCACACGGCCCACACCTGGCCCACGCCGGCACACGCTGGCGCACACCTGGCACACGCTGGCCCACACCTGGCCCACACCGGCACACACTGGCACACGCCAGCACATGGCAGGTGCTTGTGGGAAATTTTCAGAGGAGGAGGAGCAGCCTCTGTGGAGACGGACCTGGGTCGGTGCTGACCCTCTGGATGTGCGGTCATGGCTGCTCTGCCACGTGTCTCCCCAGCTGAAGGGCATCCCCGGGAAGAAGCTGCGTTTCTGCTTCGGGGCCACTGCCCCGTCAGCCCAAGCAGCCTGGCCTGGCTCCAGGGCTCGGTGCAGCCATGGCGACCTCTCCTCTCCGGCCTTTGCACAGGCTGTGCCCTCCGCCTGGAGCTCTCTTCCGTCTTCACCTGCCCAGGTCCTGCTTGATCTTCGGGCCTTGCTTCAATGCCACGTCCTGGGGACCCCCTGGCCCCAGACCAGGCCCTCGCCCTCCAGTAGCTCTTTCCCTTGGTTTAACAGGTGCAGCTTAGAGCCCTGACGGCCAGGCCCAGCTCACGTGTCTTGGGCTGCTCAGCTCCGAGGTGTGCCTGGAAGGGGTGCACCTCAGGGCCGAAATCCCAGAGTGTCCCAGCTGGAAGCAGCCTTAGGCATCCCTGATTCATTCCACAAATCTGGGCGGAGCACCTGCTTGGGCCAGCCCCAGTCCCAGGCTCCGGGAAGAGACCCGGGTCCCGCCCTCCTCCAGGGCGGCAAACGCAGGCAGCCATCACCAGGCAGACCAGCGCGGCAGTGCTGTGGGGAGCGGGGTGTGAGGACGGCCATCTCAGAGGAGGCTCCCCACGAGGCAGGGGCACGTTCCAGGAAGGCCAGAGAGAAGGGAAGGAGCTGGTCGTGTGCCGACGGGATGCAGGGGCGGGGAAGCCTGTCAGGCGGAGCAAACAGCAAGTGCAAAGGTCCTGAGGTGGGAATGAGCCTTGAGGGACAGAAAGTGGGCTTGCGGCTGGCGTGTGGGACAGTAGTGATGGAGGGAGGAGGACCCTGCAGGGCCTCATGGGCCACTGTGAGGACATTCCCAGTGTGAGGGGCTGAAGTAGAGGAAACTGAGGCCCAAGATGGGAAGAAATTTGGCCAGTGTCCCAGGGGAATGACCACCCAGTGCCCTGGCCCCAGCCTGAGAGGAGAAAGTGTGGACGCCACTGTGCGGGAGGCACGCAGCAGGCGCTCCGTAAATGCCGACAGGCGGGTGTAAGCTGACCAGGGGATGATGCTGTTTCCTGACCCAAGGAACCATTTCTGAGCTGCCTCTCCCTGGGCTTCATCCGGGTCCCCCACCCCATGGGGTCCACAGTCAGGGCTGCCAAGGACAGCTGTGCAGGTTGCCCGGCCAAGGGTGCCTCCGGCCCTGTGACCCTTCCAAGCGATGCGCCCTGGCACGGAGCTGGTCCAGCGGAAGGTACTCTGTGGGGACTCTGACCCCGTGGTCTGGCAGCAGGAGGGGCCAGCTGCCTGGCACAGAGCCCGTCGAGTAGAATTAACTCTCCACTGTCATCATCTAGGTGCTGAGCAAAGGTTCCTGTGTTTTCTTGTGCCCCAGGCTGTAGCTGGCCCTGTCTGCAGCTCCCCTCCTGTCAGGCTTTCGGGGGGCCTCTGGACTTTCGACATCCATAGGAAATGTCCCCTCAAGCCGTCCCCCACCCTGGATTCCTGGGGCGAGCCCTCTGGGAGAGAGAGAACAGAGGGCATCCAACCCAGGCACTGGGGCTCATCGGTCAGCAGCAAGGGTAAGAGTCAGGCCCTGCCAAGTCTGCACCCTAGTCCAAGAAGGAGGGCTCTGATGGCTGCAACTATCTTGAAGCCTCCTCCTCCTGGGGGTCCCACTTAGGGAATTTGGGGGGATGCCTGCCTAGGCGGGTTCTGCGGTCCCTGAGTGGCCACCATCTGGCCTCAGCCTCTGCAGTCCCTTTGGCCCTGGGTGGTGAAGAAGCTGCCCACGACCATAGGGAAGAAGTTCGTCTATTTTTAACTTCCTGTCTCTGTCCACCTCCCAGAGGTCTGGACCCTTGGCTCCAGGGCTGGACAGCCTGGACTGGGTATCAGGCCTCACCTCTGGCCTTATTTCCCAGGTAATTCAACCAGGCTGAAACACAGCCACATTGCCAAGGCACTGAGCGCCTGGCACGGGTCCGGTAAAATAACCTTAGAGGCCGGGCAGGAGAACAGGGCTCGACATAGATGGGGTGGGTAGCTGGCCCCTTTGTCCTCGCCCCCACCCCTGCTCTGGCACCTGAAACCCCTTTGACTCTGGACTGGGTTTTTAATTCCATAATCAAAGAATTCACTTGAGGAAGTAATCTGGTGGGGGAAGTTTATACTAAGGTGTGAATGGTTGCTATAATTAAGCCATATATATATATAATGAGGTGGGGGGACAAGAGGAGGCCAGGCCCTGACACTGTCCCATTCTGCCCTGATTGACAGGCATGGCTGCTCTTACCCACTTCCTGCCACTCCTCAGCCTGTCACCTCCCCCAGGCTGGCAGGCAGGCACCCTCCTGAGCCCTGCAATGTCCTCACCAGCTTGGGAATTCCTCCATTGGGACAGCTGGGAAGGGTGGGTGGAAACCCCACAGTGGCCCTTAGAGGAGGCTGGAGGGAGAGGACAGAGCCGAGCTGCTCACACTGTCCTGTGACTGTGGAGCCACAGACTTTGGGGATCTCATGGGGGGCGTCAGGAGAAACGGGCTAGCACGTGGAGCACACACAGCAGCTTGACCTTTGTGAATGCCGAGTGCATGTTCGTCCTCATCCCTGCCCAGCTCATACCACCGTGCACAGGAGGAAAGGTCAGCTTACCCTGGTGTCCCCCTGAGCGGCGGCTCGAGCCCCGCCTGCCTCCAGAGCCTGCGTCCGCAGCAACCACACACAGCATCTCCCCACGACGCCCGGCAGGACTGCCCCCGTGGCCTCACGTGAGGGCTGGGCCAGTGGGCTGCACGTGCCCGCCTGGAATCTTGTCTGGCTTGCCAGGGGCTGTTTAATATTTACTGAGTCCTCCCAGAGCGGGTGAAACATCCGCCCCAGAGGGCGCTCCCTGCCCGGGCAGTTGTGACACCAGCCAGACGCGCAGCCTGATTTCGCCATCGGGAGGCTGCCGCACTTGGCTTTCCCTGGCGGGCCGCCGTCCGAGTGGCTGCCACACCTGTCCTGCTGGAGCTCCGACCAGAGCTCGGGGCTCAGAGCTTCCCCGGAGCAGACGCCTGGCACAGCAGGAGGGCAAGGTCTCCAGGTAGATGGAAGGGGGGCCTGGCCGAGGGCACACACCTGCCGGGGACGGTGGGCCCCTGGGTGCTGGCAGGCGAGCGTGGCTCCCACCTCCACGCTGCCTGCTTACCCGCCGGGGACACTAGCCTGTCCGAAACCCGCCTCTGGGAGGCTGCAGCCCTGCCCAGCTCCGGGCCTGGAGATGGCAACTTTGTGGAGGGTCTGTTCCCAGAGGTGGGTGATGCAGCCTCAGGGAGGGTGAGGGAGGAGGGTGTGCAGCCCCTTCCTGGCCTTTGGAAAGTGTCACTTGTCATATAACATCTGAATGTCAGCAGGCACAGGGATGAGCACTGATGATAATGGGCTTTGTGACACCACCTGAGTGGAGCGCCTTCCCCGCTCACCCTGCTTAAACTCGTCCTGCCTCTGTTCTTCCCTGGCACGAAGCACTCGCTGATGCAGGCTTTGAAACGTGCTCTGACTTAGCTTGGACCATAGACAGCCTTACTCTTTGCCGGGCACTGCTCGAAGCCTGTACATCTATTAACTCGTGTAGCTCCATGGTAACCTTTCCTCTGGTTCGCATTATAGATGAGAAAGCTAAGGCACAGAGAGGTTCAATAACCTACCCAAAGTCACACAGCCTGTAAGTAGGAGGCTGGAGAGAGACCCTGGTTTGGCTCTGGAGCCTGCCCTTGTTACCGCTGCCCACCGCCTGCCCCAGCTGGCTCAGCAGCTCACAGGGGGAGGGGTTTTGTCTGTTTTGGTCCCTGTTGTATCCCCATCCCCTAAAATGGTGACTGGTGCCCAGTAGGTGCTTATTTAAATATTTGTCGAATGAATGACTATTTTTTAACTCTGTGGGGCAAGCACTCTTATTATCCCCCTTTGATAAATGGGGAAACTGAGGCTCCAGTTAAATACCTGTGACCTCTGGGGCAGGGATTTCTCATGGGCAGCTGACCTGTGCGGGATTCCAGGTCCTTCCTTGCTGCAGCATCCTCTACGACCAGCTCTCAGCATGCCCAGGGCCTGGGGTCTACATTTCTGGCATGTTGGTTTGTGACATGGTTGTGCAGCCGTGGAAGGGAACCACGGGTCTGGGGCTTGGTCCCTGGCAGCCAGGACCACTCCTCTCTGCTGAGTCAACAGCAGGTGTCTACGCCTGTGCATGGAATGCGCAGCATCTGGCTGGGCTGGAAATACAGCCCGGCGCTTGCTGAGCCTCTGGGGGACCAGTGGCCCTTGTCACAGGCCTGGCAAAGGAGCACGAGCTGTTTCCACTTGCCCCCCGCCTGGCTCTCCAGACACAATCCCCTCTCCTCCCGAGGACTGTGAGCCTTCGGAGTGGGATGCTGGCAGCTTGGCTTTCATCATGGTGCCTGACCCGGGAAAGCCTTGCTCTGTGAGTGTTTGAATGAATGAACTAGTCCTGCACCGCTGATTTTAGACCTTAAACATGCAGCGGACTGTGAAGGCTCCCAGGGAGACATGGAGCTGGGTCTCTAGCAATAGGACATCTCCCGAGTGAAGCAGGGACGGTGAATCCCCTAAGACCGTGCCCCTCAAAGTGTGGTCCCTGGACCAGCAGCATCGCCGGCACCTGGAAACACATGAACATGCAAGTTCTCAGGCCTCAGACTGTTGAATCTGAAACTCTGGTGGGGTGGGGGGTTGGGACGGTCAGCAACCCGAGTCTAATCCTCCAGGTGATTCTGAGGACCCTGGAAATCCTGCACCTTGCTCCCGCTGCGTGGTTAAGATTCCCAGGCTGAGATTCTGCATATATTTGGGTTTGGATCCCAGCTTAGCCACAGAGTTTTTGGCCAGACTTGGTTTCCATGCCTCTCCCTGGGCCAGGGAAGTGGAATATATTGACTAACTCAGGCCTGGGGCATGAGTTTGCCTCAAAATGCCTGTGCACACATGTGCATGTGCATGTGTGTGCATGTGTGTGTATGTTGATTTGTCAGGCCACCTCCTTCCAAACCATATGTATAAAAAGCAGGGCTGGGGAGGTTACCCAGAGGAAAATTGAGGTACTATTAAATGAGGGAAGTGGGTGGATGCTGGGCAGGCAAATCCAATAGGTGCCCACCCCATGGGTATGCCACAGGGCTATAATTTGGCCTCCCATGTTGCTTTGCCTGCATTGACAAAGCATTCTAAACAGAGAGCACTGGCATTTGAGTAGCTTGATTGTCTTTTTCACTGTAAGTTAATTTCTCATATCAGTTGATTATTAGTAATATTAGTAATCTTTTAATCCTAAAATCTAAAACTTCTTTTTACAGATGGGGAAACTTAGGCCTAGAGAGTCTTAGTAACTTTCCTGAGACTACATAGTGTGGTGGCAGTAGGGTGGGACTCAGCTCTGGCTACTGTTCCCAAAGTGCCTGGCCCAGGGACTTAGTCCAGACCTCTGCTCTAAACCTCCCCCCCATTTCTTCTCACAGAAAGTCCATCCAAAGGAACTCAGTGAGGTCTCGCATACCTGCGAAATCCTCCAAGATGTATGGCACGCTGCGGAAGGGGTCTGTGTGTCCGGGCTCCAAGACGCAGCAGGTGAAGAAGGTCTTCGAAGCGCTGAAGAGAGGCCTCAGGTAAGGACAGGCTGGCTGTGGCCTTTGGAGAGTAAGCTTGGCCTTCGCCTGCTTGCTCTGCTCCGTCTGTCCCCGGGGAACATGGTTAGGTCTTGTCTGTACCAGGCCTCAGGGGGAGCTGCTGGTCATTCATTTAGATGGGAAGCAGCCTGGCCAGGAAGCAGAGTGGGGCTCCTCGGCCAATAGCACCCAGGCACCCTCCTCCCGTGGCGCAGCCGGGACAGGTGCAGCGTGGGAGCTGGGGTGTGCCGGGCGGCGACGACAGCTTCTGGTGGTTCCCGTGGGACCACCTGTTTGAGACGGGTCTTGGGTCAACGGCATCCGCCTCTCCCTGAGAGCCTGGTAGATAGCAGTGCAAACGGGCAGCTCTGACGGAGTCCCACCTGGCCCCCGCGTCCAGATGGCAGGTTTCCCGCCCGAGTCCCTTTGGCCGGAAACACAACATGAAATGTCCCCTCCCGGCCCACGGCTTTCTCTGCTTTCCAGAGGGTTTTCCAGGCGCCTCTCTGGTGGTTGGTCCTGGGCAGCCAGCCAGCAGGGCACCCCGCCCTTGTCCACGAGGAAGGTGCTCTTGCTCACCTCCCCTGGGCCAGGGTGAAGATATTGTCCTCTGAGGCCACTGCTGGGTTTCGGACATGGGTTCAGCCCCTCCCTGCCGTGGGACCCTGTGCGGGGTTACTTGCAGTCTTCAAGGGTCGGTTTGCCCATCTCTAAGATGGGTTTAATAAGAATAGAACCTGCTTGTGGGGTTGTTTGGGGAGTTAACAGAGATACTTTCCATTTTGACAGTGCTGGGCACTGCCCACAGGGTGTGGGCTCTGGAGGCCCGTGGGTGGGCCAGGCTGCCAGGTGGGTGGGCAGGCCCTGCCCTCTGACCCCCGAGCCTGCCGAGAACCACAGCCGCTCTCGTGAGGCTGCTGCTGGCTCTCGGAGCTCTGGTCACTGCTTCTGTTTCTCTTCTTGTCCCATCTCCTCCCCGTTCTCGCAGGGAGCACCTGTGTGTCCAGCAAGCCGAGCTGGACTACCTGTCAGGACGGCACAAGGACACCCACAGGAATTCCCGGCTGGTGAGCCCCCTCCCCGCCCTTCCCAGCGGAGCAGCCTTGGCCGAGGTCCAGAAATGGGCCCTCCCTCGGCCCCCTGCCTGCACCCTGGGTGTGACTCTCCCGAACTCAGAGGCCTAAGGACCGGCCTTGCTTATATCAGGATGAATTTAACCCCAGAGGCTGGTGGGAAGCTCCCCCGCCCCCTCAGCTGGGGCAGAGTTCCCACATCTGGGGACCCACCCCCATTCTCTGGTTCCAGCAGTGACTGTGGGGCAGGCTGGTGTGCAGAGGCGCCTGTTTTAGACCTTGGCCATCTGGGCGCCCTGCAGTCAGGGGGTTTATGTGATGCCAAGGAATCGGGGCAGGCATCGAATGTAGGGTCTGTCACGGGGCCCCTGACGCTGTGCTTGTTCGGCCCTGCGTGTCTCCCGATCACCCAGCAGCTCTGTTGCTTTCCGATCACCTTGAGGGCTGCGTCTTTGAGGCTGCCCTGGGGCCCGTCCAGCCCCAGCCTCCTCTGCTCTGGACTTCTGCTCCCCCTGCCCCCTTAGCAGAGCCTGACTAGAAACACACACACACACACACACACACACACACACACAATCAAGACCAAAACCAAAAATCAGTGTCCCAGTTAAATCTGATTTTCAGCCCTGGCCGGTTTGGCACAGCGGTTAGAGCGTCAGCCTGCGGTCCACAGAGACCCGGGTTCGGTTCCCGCTAAGGGCATGTACCTTGGCTGCAGTTTGTCCCCAGCCCTGGTTGGGTTGTGTGGGTGGCGACCACTCGATGTGTCCCTTTCACATCGATGTTTCTCTCTCTTCCTCTCTCTCCTTCCCACTCTATCTGAGTAAAAAATGGAAAAATGTCCTCGGGTGAGGATAAAAAAAAAAAAAAAAAAATCTGATTTTCAGATAAACAACACATAATTTTTCCGTGTAAGTATGTCCCAAAGATTGCATGGGACATACTAAAACCAAAAGTCACTGTTTACCGGAACCGTAAATGGCACTGGGTGTCCAGTGTCTTATCTGCTCACAGGGCCAGGATCCAGCTCAAGACCCCCCCCCCCCCCAGTGGGAGGCTGGCTTTCCGGTCTTGGGAAGTCCCCACCCCTCTGCTCTGCCCCACCCCTCGGTCCTAATGGGATTAGACACAAAAGCCAGGAGGCCCTGCAGCCTGTGGGCTCCTCCAACCAGCCAGCTGATTCCCAGCATCTCCGGGAAAAACAGGGGGAGGCGAATCTTCCTATCAAACAGCAGCGCCGCCCTGGCTCCTGGCTCCTGCAGGGGTCGGCAGGGTGGGAGACACAGGGCCCCGGGCTCACAAGTGTGCCGGCTGCTCTGGGGAGGGGAAGATGGGCAGCTCAGGGAGGTCTGGCCCTGGTGGGCGTCAGGCCATGAAGGTGGAGGGAGGAGGCATTACTAAGACCCCACCCTGGCCCCCAGCATCCACTGCACCCCTCTCACATGGGTGCAGGGCTTCTCACATCCCCCCGTCTCTCTGTCCCAGTCCTAGAAGAAATTCTAAGGTAGACAAGTGTATAAAGGTTCCTACGTTTTAGCTGTTCCCATTTCATAGATGGGCACACTGAGGCCACACGGCGCGAAGACGGGTGTGGGTCCTGCCTCCCTGGATGCTGCTGGTTCTTGGTTACCAAGGAGCTGTGTGAAGTTACTCTTCTTTCCAAAGACTTGGGGACTTTCCTAGTTACTTATTTCTTACGTGAAGCCTTAATTTCATAATCCCACATGTACGATTTCACATAAATCCATACATGGGAAAGCACAGAATCTGGGGACTTGACTCCTTCGTTCCTCATTGCCGACACCCTCCTGCACTGAGTCTTTCTCACCCTGCTGAACCCTAATATTTATCTTTCACGGTTTTCTCTCTGGTCACATAATCATATAAACATACATACAGGTGCATGGAGAGGGTTCCGGTCGAGCTGTCCTACAGAGATGAAACCAGAGTGTACACCCTCTTCCACACCTGCTGCTTCTCCCCAGTGGGTCTCAACCTTGTGGGGATCCCTCCCGGCTCCGCTCGGTGATTCCGGTCTACGTGGCAAACTAGGCCTCTTGTAGAAATACAGTGTATTCACCACGGCCACACCTGTCACTCACACACTGTGGCCAATTTCATGCTCCAAGGCCGGGACCAAGTCTCCTTTTCACTGGTGACACCTGGCCCCTAGCGTGGACGGGCCGGTCTGGTTCTGCCATTTCCTGAGGCTTGAACTCCTGGGTGGTGCCGGCTGCCACTCCCCACTCTGAATTCTTCTGGCCATGGCAGAAGTCACCCCTTAAACTATCAAATCGCAATGGCCCCCATTATACACAGTGCTTGCTCTGTCTCTTACTCTTTATAGCAACCCTAGGGGGTAGATGCTATGGCTATCCCATTTTATTTGAGGACATAGAGGCTCAGAGAGGTTGAGTAACTTTCCTGGGACACACAGCCGAGAGACAGGGCCAGGCTTAGAACTGCTTCACCCAAAGTGCCTGTGTTTAGTCCCTCTTCTTCCTCTGCCGGACCACGGGCCTCAGGGGGTGGAGCGGCTGCTGGCTGTTTGTCCTCTGAGCTCAGGCGCCCCTGGATGTAGCCTCTTGGATCTTGAGGGAGCATCCGGAGTCCTGACACCCTCTCCCCCCCCCCCACAGGCTTTCTATTACGACCTGGACAAGGTGAGTCAAACGTCCCCCATCTGGTGAGCGCGGCGGGCTGTGGCTAGGCCTGGCTCCATGAGGTGTCTTTGCTCCCCGCACTGCATCCTCTGGTCGTCCTAGAGGAGAAATACCTGGGGTCTTCCCCATTTCACAGATAGGGAAACTGAGGCCCAGTGATGCGCTTTTCTCGGGGTGGGGGAGCTGGCCTGGCTTGGAGCCCAGGTCTCTGAGTTAGGGCTGAAGGAGGGGGGCAAGAGCAGGCGGTGGGCCAGGCCACCTCTGAAGCATCGTCTCTGTTCCTGGGAGAAGCAAACGCGCTCAGTGGAGAGGCACATTCGGAAGATGGAATTTCACATCAGCAAGGTCAGCTGGCTCCCAGGGGCTCGGGGTGGGGGCGGCTGCTGTCTTTGCTGGGTCTCCACCCCAAAGCAGGAGCCAGGAGGCCCCTCTGAGCAGGGGGAGGGGTTCTCCGGGTGCTGAGGGAGGGAGCCAGTCGGGGAGGAGCAGGGACTGCAGGGGCTGAGCCCAGACAGACCTCGTGCTAACCTGAGAGGGCTTGGAAGGCCGGGACCACGCACCCGCTAGGGGGATGGGAGGGTGGAAGCCCAGAGAGGCACAGGACTGCCCCAGGTCACACAGCGAGTCCTTCAAGGTCTGCAGTGTGCGAATTCCTCCGTGGTCTGGCTTTACGCCCCCAGCAGCTCAGTGGGGAGGCGGGATATCAAACCCACCTCCCGTTTCTGTGGCAAATCAGCAGGGAGGGGGGGCTGCAGCTACATGCCCAGGTCACTAGTTGTCACTGGGCACTGACCGCATGCCAGCCGCTGCCAGGTGCTGGGGATTCCTGCCCCCGCGGGCTCACTGTGTGCCGCTGTCGGGAGCTGGGGTCGGGATGTTAGCTCAGGGCAGAGGGTGCGAGTGACAGGCAGGCCGGGCAGCACCCACCGTCCTGTGCCCCGGGCAGGTGGACGAGCTCTACGAGGGCTACTGCATCCAGTGCCGCCTGCGAGACGGCGCCTCCAACATGCAGCGGGCCTTCTCCAGGTGCCCGCCCAGCCGCGCCTCCCGGGAGAGCCTGCAGGAGCTGGGCCGCAGCCTGCAGGAGTGCTCCGAGGTGGGCCGCCAGCCCGTGGGGGGCAGGGTTCCCTGGGGAGTGCACCGAGGTGGGCCGCCAGCCGGCAGGGGGCAGGGTTCCCTGGGCCCTGGGGGAGCTCTGCCACCAGCCTCGGTCCGGTCCGGCAGGGTCTGGGCACGCCCCCCAGCCCCAGCCCCGTGGCCCCCGGGGGCGGGCGCTGAGCCATCCTGCACGGCTTTGCAGGACATGTGGCTCATAGAGGGGGCCCTGGAGGTGCACCTGGGCGAGTTCCACATCCGGATGAAAGGTAACAGGGCTGGAGGGGTGAGCAGCAGCCCATTCAGCGGGGGGGGGGGGGGGGGGGGGGGGGGGCTTCTTGAGGGCCCTGGGACTTCTGCTGAGGCTGGGATGTTGGGCAGAACTCATGGGTCCTGGCCCGGCCCTGGGTTTGCACTCCTGTGACATGTGACCTTGGGCGGTGCCTCCCCCTCTCTGAGTTAGGTAGTTGGGTGTAAGGGCCCAAGCCTGTCCATCATGATGGCTTACTCAGGGGTGGGGGGTCCCCCAGTGAGGGCCTGTGACCCTCGGGGCAGGGGTACAGGAGGACCGAGGGATCAGCCTGTCTCTGTGTTCCAGGCTTGGTGGGCTACGCACGCCTCTGCCCAGGAGACCAGTATGAGGTATGACCGCCCCCTGGGGTCAGTCCTCAGGGTTCCCCGAGACCTTCGGGGGCCCCAGGGTCCCCTGGGGCAGCTGGCCCATCCCTTCGTGGGTCCCCCGCAGGTGCTGATGCGCCTGGGCCGCCAGCGCTGGAAGCTGAAGGGCCGGATCGAGTCTGATGACAGCCAGACCTGGGATGAGGAGGAGAAGGCCTTCATCCCCACCCTGCACGAGAACCTCGAGATCAAGGTGGGTGGGGCCTAGCTGCAGGGCCCGGGCGCCCCCAGGCTGGGCTCAGACCACCCTCAACTCCCCACCCCCAGGTGACAGAGCTGCGCGGCCTGACCTCGCTGGCGGTGGGCACAGTGACGTGTGACATCACCGACTTCTTCACGACCCGGCCGCAGGTCATCGTGGTGGACATCACAGAGCTGGGCACCATCAAGCTGCAGCTGGAGGTGCTGTGGAAGTGAGTGGGGCCAGCCTCGCTCCCTGTCCCCCCAGCCCCACGCCTCACCTGGAGGGCCACCCGCCCAGAGCCAAGCCTGAGGGGTCTCGCTGGCTCCCCCTGCTGGCCTGGCTGCACCCTGGCAGGCACTTGTGGCCTTTCCGCCCTCCTCTCCCAGGTGTGTGCAGGGCCCGAGTCCCAGGCCCGGAGGTCCGGCTGGGCCCCGCACACCTCTGGCCAGGCCTCTGTGCAAATGAGCGAGCAGGTGTCTGTGAGGCTGGGAGGTTCACCCAAACCACCTGCTCCAAGGGCAGGGCCGGCGAGGCCTTGGGTCGCGGGCTTCCCTGGGACTGGGACTGACGCAGAGGTCCTTCTAGAACGGTGCCCTTTACGAGGATCTGAGAGGGTGGAACGTGGTTTCCCCGGGAAGGGCAGCACCGAGTGTCTACCACGGGTCTGCTGGGCTTCTCGAAGGGACCTCTAAAGGGGGTGTCATTCACGTGTGTGGTGGCCAGTCCCTGCCCCTTGCTACCTGGCTAAGGGCCCTCAGGGTGGTGGCTGTCTGAGGGACGGTTCCAAAACGGTTGAGAACATGGATCGAGAGTCCCTGGGCTTCGCTGTGACCCGGGGCGAGGCCCTGCGCCCTCATCTCCCCTGCGGTCCCTGGCAGTGACACCTTGGCCTTCCGTCCCCTCCAGCCCGTTCGACACTGAGAGCTTCTTGGTGTCACCCAGCCCTTCAGTCAAGTTCTCTGTGGGCAGCAGGAAGGGCTCCTTGTACAACTGGACGCCCCCGAGCACCCCCAGCTTCCGGGAGAGGTACTACCTGGTGAGTGGGCCTCGACGGGCAGGGACGCTGGGTCACGCGGGCACTGCCGGCGGTGGGGTGACTCCCCAGGGGCCGCCCTGTGGGACTGGGCCGAGCGGCCTGGCACCTCTTGATGTAGCAAGCTTTGGGTTCAGCCTCCTCTGCTTTGGGTGATACTGGCTGTTTTGATGTCCTTTTTATTCCTTGATGCTGGCCCCTCCCTCTATTCTGGGGGGCTGCTAGGCTTGGCTAGTTCTCCCGGACACCTTGAATAAGGTCTTCTGGACGGTTCTACCACCCCAGCCATGGTCTTGGCTTCTAATTTGTGTTAAACTTACACTGAATGTTTCCAGTAGGTAATACCTTGACAGAGTACAGTAAGTATCTCTCTCCTGTAGCCCCAGGGATCTGGGCCTCCTTAGCACCGCTGTCAGCTCCTTCCAGATCCTTCCAGCGATGCTCTCTGCCTTCTGGGAGCAAATGCGTCTTTTCCTCCACCCTTTAGTCCACAGAAGCCTTTTTAACCTAGTGGTGCATCTGGAGAGTGGGGGTGTGAGGGATACAAGACGAGGACTCAGAGGCCCTCAGAACAGGGCATGTAAACATCATCTAATGAGCTGCTGCTGTTTCTATACAACGAGCACTGGCTGGGTATTGTGTGTCAGGTCCGTCTGTCCTGCCTTTCTCAGCTCATTGCACTCATTCGGAACTACGTGCCAGGCTCTTCTTCCGGCCAGGCGAGGCCTGTGCCCCCGGGGAGCCCTGCCTGGCCCAGGGGTGGTGGACGGACCATGGGAAAATAGAGCAGAACGTTCCTTGGCAGACAGCACAGTCAGTGCAAAGGCCCTGAGGTGGAAATGTGTGAATGAACCTAAAGGGCATGAGAAACAGCAAGGAGGCCTCTGGGGCTTGGAGGTGTGAGAGAGGGTCGACGGGGGTAAGAGCAGAGGATGGACGGTTCTAGCAGCCCCTCCAAGTCAGCTTGGTGGGCCTGAGTCATCGGAGGAAGTGGGTATGGGGAGCGAGTGTCTGTGGCAGGGGGAGCCCCTCTGGGGACCTCGCTGTGGTCCCTGGGTGGCCAGTGAGGCTGGTCCTGTGTCCCCCTCTCCAGTCTGTCCTGCAGCAGCCAGCGCAGCAGGCCTTGCTGCTGGGCAGCCCAGGGCCCCCCTCCACCCTCAGCTGCCTGTCCGACAGCGACCTTCGGGGCCCTGGTCTGTGCAGCCAGAGTCAGGAGCTGCCTGAGATGGACTCCTTCAGCTCCGAGGACCCCCGAGACACCGAGACCAGCACATCAGCATCCACCTCGGACGTGGGGTTCCTGCCCTTGGCCATTGGCCCCCAGGCCTCCATTGAAGAGGAGGCCCTGGAGGACTCCCCACCCCTGGGCCTCTTGCCAGAGATGGCCCACCTGGTAGGAGGCTCATTTGTGGAGCGGCCTGGCTGGAGGAATTTGGGAGTAGAGAGCCCCAACCTGCCACGGGGCTCCCCCCTCCACAACCATACCATGCTGGGCAGCCAGAAAGACCACGATGAAGGAGAAACCAGGGATGGAGTGGATGGGCCTGGGGTGACCCTCGAGAGGCCCCTGCAGGAGGTCCTGGACTTGCTGAGGTGCACTGACCCCTCCCAGCCCCGGCTCCGAGAGCTGGAGTACCAGGTCCTCAGCTTCAGGGACCGGCTGAAGGTACGTCCACTCTTTGCTGGGCGGCAGCCCTGCTGTGCCAATGGTGTAACAAGCGGGACGGGGCCCTAGGGGCAGCCACCTGGGCCGGCACCCGGCGCGCCTCTGCCCCACCGGGCGAGCGATGTCTCCTCTCTGGGCCTCAGTCTGCTTATCTGTCGAGTGGGGATAACAAGAGCCCTCATCGGGCTGGGAGGAGGATTAGGAGGAAGTTGGGGCTCAGAGTGGATAACTTGCTCCACATCCAGCCAGAACCCAGCCCACCTGGCATCTTCCGACCCGAGCAGGTGAGGCTGCCGCTCGGCCCTGAAATCCCAAACTTGGGGCGTTCGCACAGCCAGAGCTGGGGTGGTGGGAAGCCCCCAGCAGCCACGGCCCCACGCCAAGACGTCTTGTCTCCAGGGCCCGCGCCAGGGGCCGTTCTCACGTGGCTCTCAGAGGTGCTGGCCTGGGCAGATTATCCTATTTTTTTCGTTTACATAAGTTTAAATGGACGTGAAATAAAACGTATCACACCAGCGCCTACTTACACACGAACGAAGCTATGAAACCGCTGTCTTTTGTGCAGGACACACATCGGCACGGACACAGCTTCACATCCCTACAGATATTTGTTTCGTTTTATCCCTTCCCCACCCCAACACTGCAAACCAGCACAGGTGACAGAAAGGTGGATTTTCACCTTCTAGCCAGTAACTTAAAAAAAATACAAGTTCACTATTTACCACTGCTATGGACCTGCCTGAAGATTTCAAGGAAAACATATAAGATGCAGTCACCTTTTAAAAAAAAATTTCTGAAGTGTTTTTTTCTGTGGAACAATTTGTCAGTGTACACCAGCCTGTCATCTGTAATTTGAAAAATTCTTCCCACTTTACATAAAAATCTTAAAATAATACCACAGTAAGGCAATGATTTTAAACATCTTTGAGAAACTTCTTCTTCTTCTTTTTTTTTTTTGGCAAACCAAGTTAGAAGAATAAAAATGATGACAGGCTATGGTTTTTAGTTTGACCTAAACAATTTTTTTTTAAATTTTTTATCCTCACCTGAGGACATTTTTGCATTTACCTTCAGATAGAGCGGGAGGGAGAGAGGGGGAAAGAGAGAGAGAACCGTCAGTGTCAGAGAGACACATCGAGTGGCTGCCACCCACACCGCCCCGTTGGGGCCGGGGACAAACTGCAACCGAGGTACGTGCCCTTAGTGGGAACCGAACCCGGGACTCTGGTCCATGGGCCAACGCTCAACCACTGAGCCACACCAGCCGGACAACTGTGACGTTTTAAATGGCCCCAGCACAGGGCCGAAGTGCTGGCTAGTGTCCTGAGCACAAGGATGTGCCTCCTGGAGACAACACGAGGCTTAGGCGTGAGTCACGTGCTGCTGGACTGAACTCGTTCGGGGATAAACAATGCACATGAAGTACGGCGTCTAAACGGAAACACACACACTACGAGGTTACATATTGGCCACTGCAGAAGCTGTCGTTTCTACACAGTTGGCAGCTTCTGCATTTCCCCAGGGGCACGGCCCCAGCGTCACAAACCCAGCGGCCAGGGCGGCTTGCAGACGGCCGTGAATACCGAGGACCGCGTGCCCAGACGGACGCTTTTCCGATCAGAAAAGGAGATCTGTGCAGCTAGACTCCTTCTCCTGCTGCTCAAGGTTTTGTCTCTGGGCTCCACTTTCGGGGCCCAGTTTTGCTGGCGGGGCAGCGACTGCTCGGGCTGTGTCTCGTGTGGGGCCACGCTGGGCCTGGGGACGGAGCAGCCCTGGAGACCGCCGCAGGAGGCACGAGGCCCAGGTCTCAGCAGTGGGTTTCCAGGTGCCATCGGAGGCGCTCCGAGCGCCTCAGGCTCCTCCGTCTCTCCGGGAGAAGGGACACGTGGAATCCGCAGGCGAACCTGGCACATTTGAGCCTCCTGAAGTGTTTGGCCTGACTCACACCATATTTTAAAAATAATTTGAAATCAGTTGTCAATGTTTAAAAATGGGGCAGCTTCCCACGAAAAGCTAAGTTTGCAGCTTTTCTTAGAAAACTGAACAATCAGACGACACCGGCCCCATGGTCCCAAGTGGCAGGTGGCAGGTGGCAGCTGCAGCAGCAGCTTGCTCTCCTGGGGGAGGGCACCTACTCTCCCACTTCCCATGGTCCCCCCACAACCCCTCACTCACTCCTGTCACTTGCCCTGTGGCCGAGGGTGTCTGCCTCCCCGAGTTTTTGCACCACACCTTGTCACATGCCATTTGGAAGGGTTGGGGAGTGCCACATCCCGGGCCCATCACCCACTTGGGGGACACTGTTAAGGTGGGGGTGCTAGACGGTGCGGGGCCGGCTGCCCTCAGGTGTTGCTCCGTCCACAGCCTCGCGGAGGCTGCCGGGAACACAGCTCGGCCGAGAGCCTCATGGAGTGCATCCTGGAGAGCTTCGCCTTCCTCAACGCGGACTTCGTCCCCCACGAGCTGTCCCTCTTTGGGGGCCCCGAGGGCTCCCGGTGAGTGCACCTGCCAGCACTGACCGGGTGACCAGCCTTAGCTCCGTGGCCCCCTGGCCTGTGTCTGCCATTGCTGATCCGTATTTAGTTTGATTATTTACGGTGCCCCCGCCATCCCCACGCGCCCACTGCCTGGCGCAGAGCAGGTCGCCAGTGACCACAGTGAATGAGACTAGCTCAGCCTGGCCCTGGGCTTTCTGTTCTGAGCAATGGGCTTTTTTTTTTAATCTTAAAAAATAATGATGGAAGAAGACACAGCAGAGTCTCTGACCTTGACCTAGTCGACATGCAGCAGTGACCGTGCTCCCGACCCCTCTGCATAGCCGTCCACCCTCACCTGCCTCACCGCACCACCTCGGCCTCCCTGATCAGAGCTCTCCAGGGAGGGAGGGTTCCCTCTGCCCTTACCAGAATGGTCACCCAGTTCTCTATTCAACTCAGAAAGGACAGGACCCCGCCCCCGCCGCCGTCACTGAAAGAGGCATCCAGGGAGCTCACAGCTGGTGCCCCCGAGCTGGACACACTGCTCATGGTCCACCTCCAAGTCTGCAAGGCTCTGCTGCAGGTGGCTGTGGGGTCTGGGGGTGGGGGGGCTGGGATGGAGAGGGAGGGGCTGGCCAGGGGGTGCAGGTGAGGTGGGGAGTTCTCTCTGCAAAGGGCTGACCTTGAAGGTGGCAGGGAGCGTGGTGCAGGCGGAGAGGCTGCGTGCTCCCTGAGAGCCAATGACATTGAGGAAGTTCCCCCTTGGAAGGCTCAGGCCAGGCCTGGGTGAAGACTCCTGTGGCCCTTACGCAGCCCAAGCCCCGAATCAAAGGCAGTGGCTGTGACTTACTCAGTTGTAGAAGCCAGAGCTCCAATCCAAACTGGCTCCATCTAAAGAGAAAATGTATTGGCTGATAGAACTGACAAGCCCGGAGGTAGGCTTCAGGCCCAGCTGGATCCAGGGTTTCAAATGTCATGACTGGGCCTCTCCCTCTCAGCTCTGCTTTCCTGTGTGGCTTGGCTTCACTTTCGGGCAGGCTGGTCCCTTCCTGGGCAAAGGCAGCCCCTGGCAGCGCCAGCCTGTATCCTGTTGTCTCGGCCTCCTGGGGGGGGGGGGTTCCCAGGTGACAGTCAAGGAGCTACCACCGGGATACAACGGATGGGTCAGGGCAGGTGGGGTCGTGGCGGCTGACGGCACGGGGCGTGTTCGCGCTGACCTGGAGCCCCACGTGTTGCTTCCCAGAAACTGGCCTCCCCTAATGTGTCGAGGATGGTTCAGGAATGTCTTCTGGAAGAAGCTGCGCAGCAAAAGCAGGTCCTGGAGACGCTGTCTATGCTTGATTTTGAGAAGGTCAGCAAGGCGACATCTGTTGAAGAGAGTAAGTAACTGCCGCCACCACTGGCTGCTCGTGGGAATGGAGTGAAGGGACGGGCGTGGAGCACCGGGGGCCTCATCTCCCTTCCTGACGTCCCAAGTTAACTGGGACCCAGCGGTGTCTGGCTGGACTGGGCTCAGGGACACCCTGGGGGGCGGGGAGGGAGGCTGCACACCTGGCGCGAGCAGCACGCGCTCCGCGGTCCGCTGGGTGGCCCTGGGCTAGTGATTCACCCTCTGAGCCTCAGCTCCCCAATCTGGGTAACGGGGAGGCCCCTGGGACGAAGGAATCCGCAGGACCCACTCCGGGCACACAGCGCTAGCTCACATAGACAGTAGCTGTGACCCCAGTTCTGCCTCTGCCCCCTGGGACCTCCCTGGTCCATAAGGAGAGGCTGGTGACAGCTGTCGCCTCAGGTTGTTGTGAGGACTGTGGGTGGTGACCTGGGGAAGGTGCTCAGAGCTGAAGCTGCTTGTCCTCTGTGTGTCACACTGGAGTTCAGGACAAGGATGCTGCCTGTCCCCCTCAGCCTTCTGGCCTCAAGTCCCGGCGGAGGGACATCTCTGGGCCCCCGTGCTCGCTCTGCCCGCAGCAGGTGTCTGAGCCTGGGCTTTCAGTCCTTCCGCAGGCCACTCGGAGGAAGGGCTGCCTGAAGCTGTGGAGGGGGTGCACGGAGCCCGGCGGGGTCCTGGCCTGTCCTGCCGCGGCGCTGCTGAACCAGCTCAAGAAAACGTTCCTGCACAGGGTCCGGGGGAAGTACCCGGGGCAACTGGAAATAGGTAGCGCCCCTGCCCCGCAGAGCGCTGTCCGGAGTCCCGGGCCTTCAGTGTTGGCACAGGGGCCTCCTTTCGGCCTGGGCCTCATCCCTGAGTGTCTTCATGGCCTCAGACGAGGTGGTTTCCCGGCGGGCCCACTACCACCTCCTGTACCGGGAGGAGTCTGTGAGGCTGCACGTTGGTGGGCTGGTGCACCTTCCCGGGGAGAGTCCGTAGCTCCCACCAGAACTGGAAAGGTTAAGAAAGAACCTTCACAGCAGGTAGGCAGGCCCTTATCTGCTCCATGAAGGTGTCTGGACACAGCTTCAGAAGGCAGAGCATTTCCTGTTCCCAAGTGGGTGGCAGCTGTGCCCAGGTAGTGGCTCTGGACTGTCAGCTCTAACCCCAGCTGGCTGCTCAATGGCCTGCATGTTCCCAGCCCCAGCCCTGGCCATGTGGGTGCTCCCCCAAGCCCGCCGGAGCCAGGGCTGCACCTGGCTGGAGCATGCGCCTTCTCGCCGGCACGGCGGGCGCAGTGGGGGCCACCCGCCCACGTGCTGTCAGAAAGCCTTAAATGACCCGGCCGCCGGGCTAAGCAGCTCCCAGGGCGCGAGGTCTCGTTTCCCCTCACGGCCTTGCCCTGTCCTCTTGCCAGCGTGCCGCAGGCTCCTGGAGCAGGTGGTCAGCTGCGGCGGGCTGCTGCCCGGGGCCGGCCTCCCCGAAGAACAGACTGTCTCCTGGTTCCAGTTTCACAGCTACCTGCAGAGGCACAGTGTCTCGGACCTGGAGAAGCACTTTGCCCAGCTCACCAAGGAAGGTAGGGCTGGGAGGCTGGCCGGCGGCCTCAAGGCTACAGGTAACAAGAGGAACTGCCCCCCGCGGGGCCCTTTGTCCCAGCTCTTGGAAGCCAGCTTTTCAGAACCCGGTCTTTCCCCTCCAGCTGTACTTTTGAGAAGCCTGATTCAATCAGACTCCACACCCAGCCCATGTGATGAGACTGGCTGTAGGGGAAGCAAGCAGGCTGCACTTGGCACAGAGCAGGGGTCAGAGCGGGATGTGACGGGGAAGCTCTGCTGGCCAGCATCCTTGAAGGAGGGGCTGGGGTTGTATCAATTTTCAGGGCGTATTTGATCCCTTGCTAGAAAGCCTTCCTAGAGATTCCAGTAGGCCCCTCTGAAGCCAGTCCAGGCTGGGCCTCGGTGACCACATGGGCTTGCTCTGGGAGTTGCTTCTCCAAGCCTAATGGCAGTGGCCAAACTAACCCGCCGCTGGAGAGCCCAGCCGCCCAGAGCAGACCCTGAGCCCACTTCTGCCTCTCCTAGTGACCCTCGTGGAGGAGCTGCAGTGCCCGGGGCAGGCCAAGGCGGTCAGGAAGCTGCAGGGCAAGCGGCTGAGCCAGCTCCAGCCCCTGCCCCAGACACTACGGGCCTGGGCGCTGCTCCAGCTGGACGGGGCTCCAAAGGTGTGCCGGGCGGCCCGGGCTTCCCTGGCCGGGGCAGCCAAGAACAAGAGCTTTCGGGAAAAGGTACGGTAGGCGGACGGGAGGTGGGGCCTCCTGGCCTTAGGTGTGGCGGGTGGAGGGAGGCGCTCTCTGGAAAAAACGTCAAGGTGTGAGTGCTGGGGGCTGCCCTGGCTGCATGCCATTTGGCCTCAGGGATCTCCAGACAGGAACACAGCTCCTTGGCCGTCGCCAGCGGCAGCACCAGCCCTGGGGAGGGATCTGGGCTGGGGTGACCAGGCCATCGCCGGGGGAAGCCACAGAACCACACACCACCACTTACCTCACTCACCTTGGTATTTCTAGAGCTGCATTATCTGTTCAGTCTTTGAGGCGTCACTTGCATGTAGAATGTTTCTGAGAACCGCAACGGTCGTCCTCATTTACTGGCCACTCATATGTGGCTGGTGGGTCACTGTGTTCAGTCCACTTGAAAACCGAGAAATTGGACCTCTCTGCCTTTTAGGTTCCTGGACCTGTGGCTATTCTAGACTTAAGGTACCAGACCCCGAGGTGGGAGCAGAAGGGCGACATCGGGGCCTTATAGGTAGTCTCCTGGGCTCACTGAGGGCCAGGCACATCCCCACTGCCCACAACAATTTCCTGGAGCAAGCACCTGCTTCGTGTTCCAGAGGAAGTGACTTGGCCACGGTCATGTGACCGACGGGGGCAGCGGCAGGGCTGCGGCTGGAAGGTGGGGACCTTTCTGAGGACGGCTCTGTCTGTGTTCAGTTCTTCAGTTGTCCCGGCTGGACATCTGATTCCTGACTTAGCATTTTCTCTGGAGGGCACTCTCAGAATGCATTTCATAAACAGCATTAGACAAAAAGGCCTTTCTTCCTTCCATCACCACCAGCCCAGCGTCTTGAGAGATAAGCTCTATATTGTAGTACATATCTCGAGATGGTGCACCTGGCCCAAAGATTTAAGGGATCGCGGCCTGATTTTTGTTTAGAAAGAGGTAAGAAGGGCTTGGCTTACGGTCAGCAGTCGGAAGATCAGCCGGGGGCACCGTGGACTTGGCTTTCGGTGCCCTCCCTCCCGTGTGTTCACAGCAGCCTTATTTCCCAGGCTTTGCTGTTCTACACCAACGCCCTGACCGAGAACGACGCCCAACTCCAGCAGGCAGCCTGCGTGGCGCTGAAACAGCTCAGGGTGAGTTCCACCTGTTCCGCCTGCTGGTGGAGACGCCTGCTGGCGGTTAATGTTAAAGTTAGTTCATTGCAAGATTTTTCCACTGGGACCAAAAAAAAAACAAAAACACTGTTAGTAAAAAAGGAGCTAAAGAGCTGGTTTGGGAGGAGCAGCCACGAGCCCCCCAGCAGAGGCTCTGCAAGCAGAGGGCCTGCCACAGGGACCACTTGCTCTGGCTCTGTGTGAACAGCAGGCGGCTCCAGGGACTCACTTCTGAACTCTTGGGTTACATGCTTTAATACCCTCCATGGAAAGATTTCTAGCCCGGCCGGCGTGGCTCAGTGGTTGAGTGTCGACCCAGGCATCAAGAGGTTGCTAGTTCGATTCCTGGTCAGGGCACATGCTCAGGTTGTGGGCCCAATCCCCAGTGGGGGGCATGCAAGAGGCGGCCAATCGATGTTCTCTCTCATCCATGTTTCTATCTCTCTCTCCCTCTCCCTCTAAACTCAATAAAGAAAAAAAAAATTCAAGATTTCTAGAAGCTCACTGTAGAAAAAACAGTATAAAACAGACATGTACGTTATCTATCATCCTCATACTTAAGGGAAACTACTGACATCTTGGTAATTTCTTTTTTGTTTGTGGGTATGTGTGAGCATTGAAAATTGATATTAAATGTAGTTTAGAAACAGTGAACAAAATAAGAACTTTTTGTGTTAGATTGGTAATGCTTTGGAATTCCTTATAAAGGGTCTATCAAAGGTATACCTTAATTTAACCTACTCCCTGTTCTTTTATTTAATCCTCACCCAAAGATATTTTTCCATTGATTTTTTTAGATAGGGTAGGAGGGACAAGAGGGTGGGGAGAGAAAAACATCAGTGTGAGAGAGACACATCAATTGGTTGCCTCCTACATGCATCCCTACAGGGGCCAGGGATCGAACCTGCAACCCAGGTACATGCCCTTGACTGGGGATTGAACCCGAGACCTTTTGGTCCATGGGCCGACGTTCTAACTGCTGAGCCAAACTGCTGGCCAGGGCTCCCCGCTCTTACTGTAAAAACTTTAAGCTCACCATCCTTTTCTTATTATAAATATTGTCATTATAAACAGTTTTGTGCATAAAGCTTTAACCTCACCGCATTTAGAAATCTCATTTTAGCCCTGGCCAGTTTGGCTCAGCGGTTGGAGTGTCCACCTGCGGTCCGGAGAGACCCGGGTTCGGTTCCCGCTAAGGGCATGTACCTCGGTTGCAGTTTGTCCCCGGCCCTGGCTGGTCGTGCGGGTGGCAGCCACTCGATGTGTCCCTTTCACATCGATGTTTCCCTCTCTCTCTCTTCCTCCCACTCTGTCTGTACAAAAAATGGAAGGGTGTCCTCGGGTGAGGATAAAAAAAAAAGAAATCTCATTTTAAAAAGTAATGGCCAATTTACTAGATGAAAATAGTCCAGAACAGATTAAACTCATCCCATTCAAGCTCCAGTGAATCGACAGGAAAGTCTAGGCCTATTTGGTTGTAAAAATAATCAGTGAGAGGGTCCAGGTGCCCAGGAAAGGGCACTGAAGTGGACTCTGTGCCTTAGCCCTGGAGAGCAGCCTGGGGTCAGGGGTTCCTGAACGGGGGCCCCTCTCCTAGTCTGACCTGGAGGGACGGCTGGGAGAACAGAGAGGTGATGTCAAGGTGCAGAGGGAATCAGGTCTTCTCTTTTCAATCGGGGCCTTCCAGTTGTCCCCGCCATCAGTGCCGGTGGCCTGCTTGCTGGCAGGTGTCAGGACTGAAAGGACGAGACACTTGCAGTGGTGCTTCTGATGAACCTGGGGTGACACGAGCAACCCAGAAGTCTTCAGAAAAGGGGCTCGGGCCCCAGACTGTGCTAGGGCTGATCCTGCAGGGCTTGTACTTTCTTAAAATGTCTCCTGACGGACGCTCTCTCCCTCGAGCAGGGCGTCGAAAGCATTGATCAGATTGCCGGCCTGTGCCGATCCGACCTGGAGGCCGTGCGAACAGCCGCCCGGGAAGCCACACTGTCATTTGGTAAAGTACAGCGTCCAGAGCAGTGCCGCCCCTGGGTTCCTGGGTCCCCGCGAGGCTATGCCAGAGCAGCCCCGGCCAGCTCTCCAAAGGCACTGTTGGCAACCCGTCCAACTGCATCTGGCCGAGGCAGGGTCCCTCAGGGTGGAGGTAGTAGGGAACGCTTGATTCCTTTCTTCCGTTTGTTTCTTGGGAATAAAAGCAGACACCAAGTAGACTGTCTCGGGCGCAGGGGCGAGGCACGGGTCGGCCAGTTAGGAGCTCCCCCAGGGCTCCTGGCCCTTGCCCTCCACAGCGGCGCCGGAGCCCCAGGCGTCAGATACTGCTGAGGCCATCTCGGCCTGCCAGAGTAGGAAACGCCGAGGCAGGGGACAGTCCAGTGACAAGTCACCTTGATATTGTAGGTGAAAGGGGACGCTTCGCTTTTGAGAAGATGGACAAACTTTGCTCAGAACAAAGAGAGGAGGCTTTTTGCCAGGAGGCAGATGTTGAAATCACAATATTTTAAAAAACCTCAGCCGATGAGCTCAAATGTGGCATCTTTGTTTTTGCTGCTGCCCAGTCCTGACGCAGGGACTGAGCTGTGGATGCGGGCACGCTGTGTGCTCCCCTGAAGTGTAAGCTGGCCGGGGCTGCTCCCTGAAGTCTCTGGCTCAGTCACAATGCCCCGGGGCACACGTGGGACTTGGCACAAGGGGTATGACCAAGCTCGCAGCTTCGGCTTTGAGGTCCTCCCCAGGAAGCAGAGCGGGCCACTTTGTGGAGCCGAGGCCTGGAACAGAAGGCTCCCAGACGACATGAACTTGTCTCCTCATCGGGCAGCTGGCTCAGCACTCCTGGTTCAAAGGACGGGACTGAGGCCAGCCGGCCCATGAGTTCGCTAAGGAAACAGTGCGGCGGGTCCACTCATTTCCCCTGCAGAAGCTGTCACCTGGGCGACCTGGGGAAGGCAGGAAGGCACAGAGCCAGGGTTTCTATGATTCAACTCTTCACCTGAGCTGCGACTCGAAGGCCTGGTCCCATGGACCTCCCTTTCACCGTGGTCAAGAGCACACAGGAAACAGAGCCTCAAGTGTCGTGTCAGTGAAAGCAGTCACTCTGACCCCACCGCACAAAATGAAACCCTGCTGACAGAGCAGGTCAACGTCGGGCCTGTTCAGTAAGTTGCTTCAGATGCCATAGCTGGTGTGAAGATTTCACTGAACAGCATGTTGCTTTAAAGAAGCAACATGAGTTTCCTATTTAAGACTCGAACGTGTCCTGAGCTGTTTGTGTGTTAATAATGTCGAGATGACCTGGGGTGTGGATGTGCCTATCGACAGTGGCATTGCTGAGCTTTCTAACTTAAACATTCTCATTTATACTTCCTGTATATGTTTTGTGCTTTTCAGTTTCACTTAGTATTTATTTGACTTGTTTATATGTTCAACTTTCTGAAATTTCAATGAAAAAGAACGATTTTTATTGGTGTTTCACTTTACCTGAAAAACGTCAATAGTGGTTGTTTTCCCAAACATCCTGTCCCTGAGCGTGCTCTCCAGGGTGACAGTGAAGCAGCTGTCAGAGGTGGGCGTGGGAAAGGCAGTGTGCCCCTGGGATTCTCGAAGGCTCCTGTCCTATCCAGACTCTGCAAGGCATGGCCCTTGCCTGGCCTTTGGCCCCATCTGATTTCCGTTCCAAACTCACAAATTGAGTTGTTGGGTTTTCCCCACACCGGCATTGCGCCTCTTCATCAAAGCATAGATGCCATTTCTTGTATGTGAAACAGAGACTGAAATGACAGTGGGCATGACACCACTGTCCTGGCCCCAGTCCCCCATGGGTGTTGTGTGGTCACATGACCGCAATGTGTTCGTTTCCCAGTTTCATCGATCCTGCCGGGAGGCCAAAGCATAAACAGTGTACTCAGCAGCCAGCCTTGCGACAGGCAGAAACCTCGAAGGATATAAGGGAATTCTTTGTACCATCTTTGCAACATTTTACAAGTCAAAAATGATTTTAAAACAAAAAGCAAAAAAAAAACATTTTAGAGTAGATTTACATTTAACCCTGAACGAGAAAGGAAGACCACAGGATTTTGTGAATCTTATTATTTCGATGTCAGTTCTACATCGACTGACTGTACGGAGGTACGGAGACGTGCTAACCTCCACGGGGTCTCACAGGCAGCCGGGCAAGAGGCACGTCCTTGAGGTCTGAACAGTTCTTCAAACAACTTGTGCAAGCTTCTTCAGTTATCCCAGGGCCCTGGGTCTTCCAAGGGCTGAGGCCGGAGGTGCTAAGGGAACTCCCCGTAAGGGAATATGCCCAGCACAGAGGCACTCAGGGCCCAGGAGGCCCTCGTGGTTCTTCGATGTGGAAAACTATACCCCTGCTCGACACCTGCCCCCATGCAGGGACGGAAAGCAGCATGGCTGCCCTTCCTGGTTTAGCCTGTTGTGCAAAGAACTGGAAAGCACCCCAAATCCATGTTCTTTAGAAAGAAAAATTTTTATTGTTGCAACTAAAATGCAAACCCATCATTTATATGGCAAGTTGGAAAACTGTACAGTTTGACAGTTCTGTGAGGTCACAGAAGACCCTGAGATGCGCCCCCCCACCCCATCATGCATCCACATATACACACACCTGAAAAGGTATTATACCAAAACACCTCGCTTTTTTTGTTTGTTTTTATTTTTGTAAAAATGGTTTATTCCATGGCCATTGTAAAAAATAATGACCTGCTGAGTAAATATTGACTTAAGGCATATAGCAGAGCAGCTCGCTACTTCTCTAACATACGTGTAACAAGATGGAGAGCCATCTGTTGCCAAGGATAGGTTAAACCAGTATATCCATTTTGAAATGCTACTATATATACACACCCAGACTACTACATACATATACAGGACTTCCGAAACAAACAAGCAAGCCCAACTCGAACTGCTTAGAGCCTGGCACCTGGCCGTATCCACACCTCACCAAGGCCCGCGGGCGGCGCCTCGCATGTTCCCTCCACAGAACTCCTCTGCACGGGCTTCTAACACGTGAAAGGCAAAATGTGAAAATGCTGGCAAAAGAGCAGCTCGTGAGCTACAGCTGCCTTTTTTTCTTGTTAAAAAAGCCACTTAACGTGGAGGTCTTAAGTTCCCCTCGCAGGAAGAGTCGTGAGCACCATCAGTCCCCAGGGTTCAAGGGCAGGGGCAGACACGCCTCTCTCAGCAAGGCCCTCCCGAATGCGACAGCAGCCAGCTGACTCCAAGGGACCTTCATCATCCAGGCTGCTTCAAGAAGTGTGGTTTCCAACAGTTGCCTTGGTTCCAGATCACAGTCTTTGCAAGAAGAATGTGAACTTGGGATGGTGGAGGCTGATCCCAAAGGTGTGTGTGCAGGGGACCCTGCTTGCCTGAATGTCCAGAGCGTGAGGTGTGACTATGGCTTCCCATCCCCTGGAATGTCTGAGTTACAGTGGGGCCCAGCTGGACCAGGACAGGCCGGGCCTCACCAGGAAGTCACCGGAGTGTCATGCCAGGAATTAGGCAAATATCTGCTACTGAACACATCCCTCCAGTGCCGAACGGCGAGTAGTTCAGCGACAGTCTCAGGGACCACAGCCACGTAACGGTCTGATCATGCAAGGGGAGACTGGACTCATACACGAGGGCACTTTAGTAAGCAGAGATCTAAGTATTTCAAGCACGTGGTATTTGATCAGGACACAAGAAGACCAAACATGCATTCTAATACACATGGGGAAAGCAGTGATTGAGAACAAAGGTCTATCAGATAAAACCAGGGAGGGGAATAACCGGACAAAGTCATCTCCCGTCATGTATGTTAAATATCCAAGTGTTCATTATATATTATCCCACTGCTCTATACACAAATGCCAAAGCTCCTCTCACTTTACCCAGTGTCATGAAATGCCCACTGCTCACGGCCATCCTCCTTCCCAGTACTGGTCTGACGCAGCGGGCTCATGGCAAAGTCCTACGTTCCCAGCACTACCTGAGGGTTTATTGTACTTTTTGAGAAAGCCTTTGATGCAAGGCTGACATCAAAAAATTTTAATACATTATTGGTTTAAGAAAATGCTAGTGCACTATGGATGCCTCTGGGGAAAAATAAAAAAATAAATACGGAGCGGAGAGGCTCACCACACGCCGTCTCCGCGGCGCCTGCCGGGAAATGCGGCCCTGCACAGGCCTTCCTCTGGGCCCCGCGTGGCTCTCCTGCTCGCCTCAAAAACTGGGCTGTAGATCTGGTGCTTAAAGAAGGGGGGCAGGAGTAAAAGGGAAGGGGTAAGACCCAGAGCCGGGGAGGGGAGTTTCAGTGCAAAGCAAACGTCTGCCGGGCTCACACGCGATTACCCACCCCGAAGCCTGCTAGTCGGGTGCGGGCTCCGAGCAGAGGCGGGCAGTGGGGTGGAGGTGGGTCAGATTATGTTGTTGTTGAACAGAAACTGGAATGAAACCAAACATTTTCAGTTGAGACCAGACCACCCCACCGAGCTGCAGACTTGGCACTACCTGGCAAACCCCAACCCCCTGGCCACTCCAGTGAAAAGGGGCTTTGATTTTTTTTTATTACAATAGCCCTCGACCCCTTACAAAATCATCCCTAAGGAAAAACCGTGTGTTGCTAAACCATCTGATGCACTCAAAGATGGTTGCCTGAAAAGAGGCAAAATATTTAAATGATTTAAAAAAAGTCTTGCGAGGTGATTTCCATGAAGTTAATCCTCTCTCTCTTCCCCTTACTTTAACAGCAACACACGTGTCATGTGTGGCGGCTCCTGAAATGGCATTTATATCCGAATCAAGTGGAAACTGCTCCTTTTTTATCTCAGTGGCAGGGTGAGGCCGGAGGCCACCCTGTGGTGGCCTCGGACCCTTAGGCAGGGGCCTCGAGGAACCCTGTTTTGGAGGATGGGGTGCTGAGGGCAGGCATGAGCAAGACGGCTCAACAAGAAGGGATCGATAGAGAAATGGATGGTGGAAAACCAGTGGGGACACCCTGAGCAAAAGCATAAGCCGGGTTTTAATTTCTAGAGATGGCCTTTGTTGTTTTTCTTCTTAAAATGGGAAAGCTGGCAGCCCCTGCCCAGCTCAGTGTACACACAGCAGAGGAAGTGACTGAGCAAGGCAGCGTCCTAGATCCTAAACCCTCTTCTCCAGAGGACTCCACGTTCCTCCAAGGGTGGGAGTCCTTCCCTGGGAAATCAAATAGAATGTGTATCAGCTTACACCACCTAAGGGTACAAGAAAGTTTCCTAAGTGCCTAGTCTCTTTTCCCCCCCAGAAATAACAAAAAGCTACTTTTTATAAAGGTTAAAAACAACAATGTGTTGTAATTCTATTTTTTTCCAAAAACAAATGAACAAAAAAAAAAAAAAGAAGAGAGAGAGAGATGTATTTGGCATTTTCTCTACTTACTCCTGAATAGGTTAAGGCCCTGAGATTAGACGCTTGTATTCTTGGGACCACAGGGCTCCTTAAAACCCCAGTGCATCAATCCTCAATCCTCTCTTGTTAGCCCTTCACAGTTCCAGACTTTAACCTTTGATCTGTTTCTTCTGAGACTGGCTCAGATCCTTGCCCAGCACTGAAAGCTAATGCCAGGCTGCCGGCCAGTGCTTCTGTCACGCGATCTTGCCAGCAGTCCGTCAGTGGAAACACACCCTGTAGCAGAGGTACGCACCAGCCGTGAGGACCGTGGCCATGCACATGTTGACCAGAAAGGGCTTCCAGTGAGTCAGCGCCTGGTCCTGCTCCTCCTTGGGTGGTGACGGCTCCTCCTGGGTAGGGCCTGCCCCTGTGACCCGCCTTCTGACTTCAGTGTCTTGACTCGTGCTGAGGAATGAGAAGGGCAGAGATGGGTTACTCACTCTGGGGAAAACAATGGCGAAGACGCTATTACTATGGGGGGAATGCTAGGAAAAACGGGGCTGCACGTAAACAGAGCTGAGTGCTGCTGACACAGGTCTGAGGCCCACTTGTCACCACCTCTACCTAGGGATTCAGGTGTCCCTCACAGCCAGGGTAAGGTTCTACAGACCTGGGGACTCCTTAGTGACGGAGGGTGGGTAATGGCCTTTGTTACTGCTGACATGAAGATGCCACACATTCCCAATGACCCTCTGCCCACCCCGTCCCAGGCCCGAATCCCCAGCACTAAGCCAACCCTGCCAGGAGGCCCTTTCCCAGGGGTCCTGTGTGCAGTCAGCTGGCTACCTTTGTGGTAGTGAGCCAAAGTGACCCGGGGGGGGACTACGTGTTCTTGCTCTGGGGCTGTTTCAGGAGAGGCTAGCAGAGGCTCATGGGACCATGAGGAGCCAGGCCTTTCTTCTCCACTCCCCTCCTGTTCCAGGCCCGTCCCTTTCCATCTTTGCTTCCATCAAGGAGGCCCTGGCCATGGGAAGTCTGGCCTCGCACGTGCATCCATGGCTTCCTACCCCAGCAGCATCTTGAGCCTGGCAAAACCACCTGAGGCACCACCTTCCTAGGAGACAGGAAGCTGCAGGGAGCAGTTGGTTTTCAGCGCCCACCCTGCCAGGCAGGCTCTGGCTACAGCGCTGAGGTCTATGGGCACGTGGGCTCCCACAGGTGCCCAGCAGTACTTATGTCCTTGGCACAACTCCATTTTTTTCTGGGACGCTCTAGCTTTTAGCTCCCCAAATCCATCTTTCCCTACACAGCACCTTCACACAGAAAGTGTGAAAGGCACTTCTCTCTTCACAGGTCTCCATGAATAAAGAAAACAGCCCTGGCTGGTTTGGCTCAGCAGTTAGAGCACTGGCCCGCGGTCCAGAGAGTCCCGGGTTTGGTTCCCGCTAACCAGGGCACGTACCTTGGTTGCAGTTTGTCCCCGGCCCCGGTTGGGGTTGTGTGGGTGGCAACCACTCGATGCGTCTCTCTCACATCGATGTTTCTCTCTCTCTCTCCCTCCTGCTCCACCAGAAGATAAATGCAAAAATGTCCTCCGGTGAGGATTAAAAAAAACAGAACATGTGACATGAATGTGACACAAGTCATTTACAGCCTGTTGCTCTCATCCTGGGCCCTCTGAGAGCCCTCAGGTGGAGCACACTGGCCCACCATGAGAACATCAGCAGAGGCCCTGGGAAACAGACAGTCGACGAGCCGTTGCCCAGCACATTATAAGATACGTGCCATGGGAGGCCCCGCTGGGCAAGTTTCTCTCCAGAACCAGATTTGGTGTTTCTGTGATAAGGACCAGTTGCATGAAGGACCCTGTGGACTCAGGTCCACGAGTCAGAACTGGTGCCTTGGTGAGATACTGATAATCAATCTAACCAGAGGACCCTGCGGAGCATTGCTTTCTCAGATCCTACCCCTCTAATGTCCAGCCACATCAGAAGAGCCAGGGCCCATTCTTTTAACAGCTGCAGGGCACCCCAACATAGGGAGAAAGGATTTATTTAATCCCTGGGTATATACTCAACTCATCTCTAACTTCTCACCATTACGAATGATGACACACCAAACACCTCTTCCTATACATCTCTTTGCACACTTGTTTCAGAACTGCTGTAGGCTAACTTTTTAGATGCAGACAAATACTGGGTCAAAATATACACTCCTCTTAAACTGCCCTCCAGAAAGCAGATCCCAAGGGCATCACCGCTAGTCTCGGGCTGGAGCCAGCTCCCCTCACTCTTCATGCTCCCACACAGTGCCACCTCCTGGAGGCAGCCTTCCTTACCCCCGGGAGGGCTGTGTCTGCTGTGCGCCTGACCCCGCCAGCGTGCACCTCCATCACGTCACTGGCCACAGGCTCCCACTGCAATTTATAGTCCCCTTCCCAACAGCAGGGTCTAGAACATAAACTAGGAGCTATAGCCTAGTTATCTCAGTATTTCACGTTCATCAGTGGGTGCTCAACAATTTTTATTAAACCATAAGGAAGCAAAATGGCAATCCATTTGGTCAAGGCTACATGAAAAGGTTAAGTTCCCAAAAGGACCATTTTGGGGGCTGAAGGTGCATCGTCAAGCCTGGACATCCCATTTCTGGACTGGCTGGAAGCCTGGGGCGGGCACTGTCATCACCAGCAGGACTCCCAGCACTCTGAACGCCTGATTCCAACAAGAACCACAAGGTGGTGCTAAAACCCCATTGAAGTTGGTCATTCTCAGGGCCAAACTGTGGCTCAGTACCTAGGTTCCTCCAGCCAGGGAGGAGCAGGACAGTCCAGGGGCCCCATTCCCCAAGGACACTGAAGCACTGTGTGCCAACAGGAGGCTGCATGCACAGGGTTTCAATATCAACATGTGTTTCTAGAAGAGAAGGTCATTTCTCCTCACCCCCAATAAGCCAGGACCCTCTCACATTACCTTTCCATGTTGCAGGGAACATTTAAGGGGGTTCTGGTTTCTTCCTTGATGGGACCGTCTTCTTTATCCTCCTCGGACTCATCCTTTACCCACTGGTGGTTTGGGAAGAACTCCTTGCATTTCCCATTGTGTGGCTCCAGGATTCGTTTGGGTGGTCGGGGAGGGGGTGGGACATGCTCAGGCGGGGGCTCCAGGTCCTCGTGGGAGAGCTCCTTCCATTGCTCCTGGAAAAAGCAGCAAGGAGTGCCATCAGTGTTCGTGGCTGACTGCTCTGTCAGGAAATCTGGTCCCCTGGCAGCAAGCAGAGGTGACAGCTCGGTGAGGGGCTGGCTCTCTGCTTCTCCGGTCTCTAGACATACACTTGAAGATGAAATATTTTGAAAATAAACTCTATTCTCCTTATTAATGTTCTCTATGTGAACGCTTCAAAGGCAGAAGCTGAAACCCAGTGAACACTTCCACAACTCTCCAACAATTGAACACAAAGTACAGCTATTTGCTCTGGCACATGGCAGTGTTTCAATTTTTACAACTGACAGTCCCCTTCTTCAGAGACAAAAATTGGAAATCAACACACCTGGATGAAAGCAAAAGCAATGCTGACCTGCACTGAAGAGTCTCCCATGATGAATTTGGCACCTTCGATCACAGCGAGGTAGGAGAAACGGAGCTGGTCTGCTGTCTGGATCAGTCCCATCCGGAACTTCCTCATTTCTAACAGAACTTTCTTGATGTCAACAGAAGAAGGGTCTTTCCTTTTGTCCATCTGAAAGCCAGATAGGAGACACAATTCAGCCAGCCCTGACTCCAGGGCCCACCCAGGAAAAAAAAAAATCACAGCAGGGAAGGCAGGATTCTAGAAAATTTGAGTCAGTGCAGCAAAATCAGGACTATGTGAGCACACAGAAAAGAATGAGAGACAAAGGGATTTCCTGGATTTCACTTTAAAACTAAGAACATCCCTCTGAACAAAGCTATTTAGGGTAAAACTATTTCTATGGAAGGGAAGCTGATAAAAAGTGATGCTCAAAGCTCGTTTACTGCAGAGACAATACCAGAGAAGCTGTGGCCAGGCCAGGGTAGAGGTTTACACGTGGTCCCTTCTCTTCTCAAGGTCTTCGATGGCCTCCTTACCAGCAAGAGACAGGTGTCGGCAAGACAGAAGGTCCCAGACCTGCCGATGCCGGCGCTGCAGTGCACCACGATGGGGCCGTGCTCCACGCTGAGTGACCCTGACTCTCGGACTTTGAAAAGAAAGTTCAGGAACGAGGCTGGCGATTCGGGGACTCCGAAGTCAGGCCATGTGGTATAGTGGAAATGTAGGATCTCTCGAGTTTCTTTAGACTGAAAGAGAAAAATGATGATTCTAAGAGAATTATCTGTACAGAAATCACAAGTTCCACATAAGCACAAAGTACCTCCAATCACTCAAAGAACAGCTTTAATTCTCAGATTTTCTCCCAGGGACGGTGCGCCCCGCAGGCCACAAATACCAGGCACCAAGGTGCCCTGTGCTGCTCCTGTTTTGACTTCACTTCCTTTAGGATGGAACAGTCTCGCCCACCTCTTTTCTCCACTGGCTCTCACCTCTACTGTCTTCACGGTCACAACGGATTTCTCTTTGCCCCACAATGACGCCACACTGCCACCCACAACTGTGTCATGAAGCAGCACAAGGTTTCACATGAAAGTGAAAATGTAAAGTATGTGTGTGTGGCATCAGCTCTGGGTAACTCAGACTTTACAAGACTATCTGGACATCTCAAAGGATCATCATTTTAAAGAAAAAAATAACCAGCTTAGTTTCCAAAGACTGGAGGTTGTTACACGTGGTTTAACACCCAGCTGCAGGGATGGTCCTGAGCATTCACTTCACGTTAGTGCTGAGCACATCGGCTCAGAGTTCTCACACCAGCCCTTTAAGGCATGTATCCCCATTATTCCTATTTTCCATATTAGGAGACTGAGGCTCAGAGGCCAACCCTCCATTAAGCAGGGGAGCAGGAGTTTCCATCTAAGTTTGCTTGACTCCAGAACCCAGGTTCAGAGCCTGTGGCAGTAACTTTTGAAAGGAGGACCCTGGCCCATGTCCCCACAGGCTTCTCCCCAGACCCAGTCTCTCCCACTGAAGCAGAAAGAATGGCCTCCGGTGCTGCTTCCAGATATGGTCCTTCCCCTAAGCCTGAGAGTCCACCGCAAGTGGACACCTGGTCTCCAGCAGCATCAATCAAAATGCAGTTCTCACTGGGAAGGGAGCACTCAAGAGCTCTCTAAGCTAAGAGCACACAGTGAGTGGGAAGCAGGCACTGGGCAAGTGAGGCCTGCAAGCCTTGCTAAAGTGGGCACAGGAAGAAGGTTTGGAGAAACCTTGCCAGCCACGACGGTCTCCTGCTAAGCAGTGCCAAGGGCCATGGCAATGCAAGTCACCTTGAGAGCAGCTGATGGAGAAACGCTTCAAGCCAGGGACCCACTTACCAACACTGTCTTCCTTTATTTGGCAAATGTCCACAACGTGCCTACCATGTGCCAGTGACCGTGCCAGGCACAATGAGGTCAAGATACAACCTCTGCCCTTCCAGAGCTTACAACTCAGTTATAACAACCTTCCCTGACCCTACTGTGACAAAAACGTGAGAAAGGATCTGCCATAAACACCAATGACCTAAAATCAGAAAAGACGACCCGTCCACCCTGCACCAGCTACTGCATACACTGGTATCGGTCTGCAGAAATGGGAGAAATCTGCCTGTAACATTAGGGTAATTTATAGAACCACACTAGGCAATTCCATTCTTTCCTCCCTAGAAAATGATCTCCTAATACTTTAATGGCTTAAAAGAGAAATGCCTCTTCTATTTTTTTAGGGAAAGAAAAGCACTTAAAAATACATTTAAAAACTGAATAAGAAAACATGCCAAAAGTGCGTTCTCTCTCTTAATCCTGAAGACGGTGTGCGTTATCTCGTTTATATCCTCCCTCACGCCTGCCCAGCTCGTTCTCAAGGAATTCATTCTAGATCTGTGTTTGAACAGATACACGTGTCTGAGAAGAGAATTTTTATTTTTATTTTTAAAAAACAAAGCTCGTTAGAGCAAACAGATCTCCTAACACCAAGGCCTTTGAGCGGCTGTGTCTGCTCCACCACCAAGGCAGCACCAATCTCTTCTGCTCAGTCCAAATTCTGTTTCCCTCAATAAGCAGGAGAAATATTCTCAAGCGTTTACCAGAAGTCACTCTTAATATGTCAGTCCTGCAAATGCTAAAAACGCACTTAAAAAAGCCTACTACATAATCCTCCAGGCACATTCCAGCCCACTGCCAGCATTATTCCTGAAAATCCTCCGTCAAAGCCTCCATAAATCACTCCCTAAGCCTCAGTGCAGGGCCAGGGCAGGGCTCTCGGCTGGCCCGCGCTATCAGAGGGAGAAGAGTGTGCACTCAGATAAAGGACTGCTGCATTCCTCAAAAGCCGCGCGATTTTAACCTGTTCTCTACTTGGCAGTAACCTGTGCCAAGTTCTGGACCTCACTTCAACTCTAATTCAACAGCAGGAGTCAGGAGTGTAAAGCACCTAAGCTGCGAAGGTAACTCAGAAGCAGATCCTTTAACACTGCCTTGCGAGCCCTAATCCATGTGATTACCATGCCCCCACCTTGACTTCTGCTGGTCATCTCTACTGCCCTGGAATAATCCCAGGGGACTTCAACCCCACACACTGCTAACCCTTCCTGAGCACATGCTCTGGGCCTGGTGCTGCTCTAACACTTCACATATGTTACCCCTTCCAACCTGACAGAGGAGGAAACTGAGACATGGCGAGCTGAATGTCCCTTGCTCGAAGTCTGACAGTTCGATATGGGGCCAGGATCAATCCCGGGCACCCTCGTCCAGAGGGTAGTGCCTGACCACCACGACTGAGCATGTCCCAGGAGCTGCCTTGAACTGTGGGCTCCTCGGAGAGGTGGCTCCAGGAGAGTGACACAGTCCTCGAGGGCAGGGCCCTTCCGTGCTGCTCAGCCCAGGGCCTTGCCGTGTTCCAGCACCATCTTCCAACAGAGGCAGCAGTGGGTGTTATCAATTCTTCCCGACAGAGGAACCCCAGACCTGACCTAGAAAACGCACACTGGCTATGGAGCTGGCCGAGCCCTGGAAGGGCCCTTTCCTCTCGCTGCAGGAGAAAGACAGCTTGCTCTGCTGGAGGTAACCTCGGGCTGCCCCTGTCGTCCCTCCGCAGTTCCACAGGCAGGAACAGACACGTTTTAGATAAGAAACTCCCTTCTCCTAAGAACTAGTGTTACCTCATGTAAATTTTAGAGAGAGGGTGTGCTCCGTGGGAAAAGAGATATTTAAGACCCCTCCACCTGCCACCCAGGCACCTCTGGTCCCCTGGCAGGTAAGCAGGTAAGCTCTGCTCACCATAGTGCCAACATTACATCTTGCTCAGGGACACACTCAGAAGAACTGGCAGCAGCAGGTAATTATCACCCAAGGGAAAAGACGCCTCAACCAGGAACCGTCTGAAGTCCTTACGCGCACTTACCGTGAGGTTTTCCAATTCCAGTTGTCGTACCGTATAATATGACTTAATATCTTCAGAGATCAATGTTAATTTCAAATTTGTGTCTTCAAAGATCATTTCTTTTTCTTCTTTTTGTGGCCAGTACTGTGCACATTTTAACTAAAGGAGAAAATAACACTAAATTATTGTGAGCGAATGACTTTTCCTGTGACAGAAGGTTTGAAGTACCTTCCATGAGCTTGAACATAACCTGAAGGCCTGGAAGTCACTGTCAGCATATAACCTGCCTTCCCTTTGGGAAGATGGGTGTGTGTGTGTGTGTGTACATATATATATGTATATCTGTATAGATCTAGCCAGGCAGCTCCCTGGTAATCTATACAATGAGGCATCTCAGGGGTCAGATCCTTTCTTTGCCTATCACCTACGGTGGGAAGCCATATGTGTAAAAGGTTTAGTCTCTCACAAAGTACTCTGTGTAGCCATTTCAAAGATTGCCAGGAATCTGATTGGTGCTGTTGGCATAGTGTAGACACCTCACCCTGGGGAAAATAACAGGCTAATTGAAAACACGGCTGGAAGAGACTCCATGTGAAACACCCTAAAAGGTTGAAGGGCTGTTATTGAGAGAAAACTATTTAGCGAAGGCTTGGAGAGGGGTCCTTCCAGGCACGGGACCACACAGTGACTCGTCCCACCCTTTTGTTCTGGTTTCGTTCAGTTCAGAAAAATACTTTTGATGTTCTAGTTTAATAATTTCAGAAACTACTTGATGGTCTTGATTTAAATGTAACATTAACTTTTTCTTTAAAGTAAAGATTTGGTTTCATTTAGAGTTCAAGAATTAGAATCTGACTCAAATTTTATGGCATACTTTGAGCTAAATTTCTGCGCCAGTATCTACCATTTCTACTTACTGATGACTGTTCTAGTCAAAAGCAGCTGGTGGACAGGGGCTAAGCTGCAGGGACGAAGAGCCAGAAAGACTGACCATGCGCCTAGACAGAGGGAACCTCGAAGACATTGTGGCTTCCAGCAAATGAAATACCAGTGTGTGTAAATAGCTCTTTGGGAAATAGTACAAATTCAAGACACCTGTAATTCGACATGCATTCGCCCCCTCAATACCTCCTGCAGGTGAAAGACGACTGTGTCTGATGGAGGGCCTCCCGGACCAACTGTCTGTCAGGACAGACTGCTCAGGCCCAGCAGTGACAAGGTGGCCTGAGGGAAGTGCTGAGGAGAACCGCTATGGATGTGCCATGGGAAATCAGAAGAGGTAAATGTTTCTGGCTGGCTGAAGTTATGGGAAAGAGATCAGAGAAGGCTTGATGGCAGAAGCAGGCTGACAGAGGCATGTTTGGAAGGATGTCTAGGATTTCCTAGGCACTGACTACAAAGCAGCACGTCTCAGAGGAGCAGCAGAAGATGGGGCCAGTGGAGGCCCAGACCACAGTGACTGGCAGCAAGCCCCGAACCTGCGGCACCACCTGGGCAATGAGGAGCCGTTCTGCTGAGTTGGCATGCTACTCAAAAACAGAAACAAATCAAGAAACAGCAGCGTGCGATGCCAACACAACATCTAACTCCATGGTCCCCAAGCAGAAGGTTGATAGGGCTTGCTAAAGAGCCTGGACACAGGCCTGTTTGAAAGTCTTGGCCAGTTTCACCCATGTCACCCCGCCACACTGATGAACTGCCAAAGATGAACGAACCTCTGGAATGGGGCCAATCTGTCAGCATGGAGGCAATTCTGCCTCTCAGGACACGGGAGCATTAACGACATGGCAAGCCCGAGGAGGTGAGGCAGCGAGCTGAGAGCAAGACTTTAGAAGACCTTTAAAGGATGCTATTCCCACACTTCAAATAATTAGACCTGTGTAATTCCTTAAGACCCCAGAAACAGAGATTGCCCAGGTAAGTTCAAAACCACGCGCGCTGGTGCGCACCCAACACGGGACGTGGAGGGAAAGAATGGGGTAAAGAGGCAGAGCCACAGAATGGCCAGTTGCCACCAAAGAAGAGGCCAATGTTTTCATGTCTCATGGGCAAGAAAGACGAGTTTTTAAAAATTCACCTCCACACAGCTAGTATCCACTTTCAAAAATAAATATAAAGTCTAATAAATCTCTGTAGTCTGAGTAAAGACCAAGACTCTGGAACTCTACAACTGAGGAAGAATTCTGGCAACATAAGTGATCCATCAGCTGATGTTTATTTTTATTTTATTTTTTAAATCCTTACCCGAGAATACTTTTTTCCATTTATTTTCAGATAGAGTGGGAGAGAGACCGAGAGGGAGGGAGGGAGGGAGAGAGAGAAACATCGATGTGACAGAGACATATCGACTGGCCGCCTCCCAGCAACCCTGACCAGGGCCAGGGACTGAACCTCAACCAAAGTACATGCCCTTGACCAGAATCGAACCCAAGACTATTTAGTCCTTTGGCTCTAACCGCTGAGCTAAACTGGCCAGGGCAAATGATGCTTATTTTTGAGAACTCTTAGGCCACACTCTGTCATTCCCTGTAGAAATTTTTGTTTTAAACACACAAAATAAAAAAAACAATAAGCACAAGCTCATTACTTCTTGTTATCCTATTAAATGGATATATACTGACCTGAAAAGAAGATTTAATTAGCAAGCAGGCCTTCAGCAGGTCTCACCTGAGCCAAGTCTTGGGTCAGAACTAAACACAATGTGGCAGTGCTGTCCTAGTCGCCGTTACTGCCATGAAGGTCAATGAGAGAGAGAGACAGACAGACAGAGAGAGAGAGAGAGAGAGCCCTTGGGACCTTCTAAAACAAACAGCTAGGCAATCTTAAAAAAAATCTATGAAAGTCACCTGGATGACCCTGTGATGGTCAATTTGGCTTTCTCAAAGCATGATGAACACAGAAAACAAGCAGAGCACAAGAGAGATGGACAAGGCACAAAAGCACCTGAAATCAAACAGTACCTTTAGTGGGGATGTCAGGAGACACAAGCCATTCTTATTTCCCCTGCCTAAACGATGATCCCAACCCTACATGCACATCGAATTCCACATGACACGTCCTAAGTTAATGCTGAAATCAAACCCATGTGGCAGTTTGCGGGGCCACAGTCTAACACACACAGTCATTTTCTGCACGCTGTTTTCCAGAAAACACGAGGTCCCAAAAGGGTAACAGACAGGCAGATTTGCCAAAAACAAGAAGAGAACATCCTACACTACTTGGTGAAGGAAGGAAACCAGAAAACATATATATAGTAAATGGAAATGCTCTGCAAGCTGGCTTTACCACGGGCTGTGATATTAGATTAGCTGAGCAAATAAGACGTTGTATCTTCTTATCATTTTTCCCAGTCATTCCTTATGGGGTGATAATGTTGATGCTACATTAAAAGTGTCAAATCACATGTTGCTTTTCATGCCCAAATGACCCTGAGTGAAAACAGTTATAAAGGAAAACAGGGACTACTGTCATTGCAGTGAACTACAACAAAACCAACCAGCCATGTTTTCGTAATGGCCAATCCCAGGGGAAAGGTTGTTACAGTGGATCTACGGCCCACTGATGGTCAGCTATGGGTGAGAGACAACCAAGAACAAGGCCTGGTGACGAACATGTAACTACAGTGCTGGGACACTGCTCCTGGTTGAACCGTGACAACAGGAGCTAAAGCAAACCACGTGTAAACAACGAAGGGATTTTATTTGAACTTTAGCAACAAATAAATAAAAAAAAAGTGCTATCATAACTGATAATTTTTAAATAAATAAATCTTTTTTAAAAGTATTTTTTTCTTTGATTTTAGAGAGAGGGAGCTAGAAACATTGATGAGAGAGAACATCAACTGGCCACCTCCTGCACACCCCACACTGGGGATCGGGCCCACAACCTGGGCATGTGTCCTGACCGGGAATCGAACCGTGATCACTTGGTGCAGGGGTCGATGCTTGACCAGTGGAGTCATAAATAAGTCTCAACTTAAAACTCCCAACCCTTGCCCAGCTTAGTGGTTGAGTGTCGACCCCTGCACCAAGTAGTCACGGTTTGATTTCTGATCAGGGCACATGCCCAGGTTGTGGGCCCAATTCCCAGTGGGGGGTGTGCAGGAGGCGGCCAATTGATGTTCTCTCTCATCGATGTTTCTAGCTCTCTCTCTCTCTCTCTCTCTCTCTCTAAAATCAATTAAAAAAAAAAAAATTAGAAACTCCCAACCCTTAACATCCTCCAGAACAGTCAACCAAGGACAGTTCTCCCTTCCCAGGGGATAATGGACGATGTCAGGAGACATTTTTGGTTGCCATAACTGGGGGCGGGGTGCTGCTAGCACCCGGTGGGTGGAGACCAGGGATGCTGCAGCCCTGACATCAGCAGTGCCCCACCTGAAAGGCCCTGAATGCTGATCTGTGTTGAACACCCAGAGGCCACCATGTTTCACTTTCTCTTGCGGAGAGCGTGTGCTGTGGGAACCTAATGTTTTGTTTCTTTATTCAAAATTGCTGACAAGAGTGGTGACAGGTGGGGGCTTGCTTCACATTTGCAACTTCACATTTTACTAATCTAGCCACTGAAGCAGAAAAAATTAAAAACCACTTTCACTAAAAACATTTTTTTCAAAGCATTATTTCATCAATTTCAACATTCAGGTAAGTGCTTCATTATTATTGAGCAAATAAATACTTTCCTTTAAGAATAGGGGACAGAGGCAAAATCCATGATTTTAAACATGTGCCCTGGTAGGAGGATTGTTTGCTGTAACAGACCATTTCTCTTGTGGGGGCAGCGAAGAGCTTTGCGGTGAATGCCTCCCACTTCACTGCTGAAGTTTCCTTTGATGTGTTACTTCTGTGCACTTTATTTATACCTTCCAGGGCCATGACTGTGCTTTCTTTGGAGGAGTGGCTTCTCTGGGGCCTTCACATTCTTCTGGCAAGCCACACCTGCATCTCAAGGTGGTTGGGACAGCTGAGAGAACAGTGCTCAGCCAAGCACCAGCGGGTGCAGTGCCGGTACCTGGCCAGGCCTGGCACACCCAGTTCTCTGCTCCTGAGCACCCGTTCATGTAGGTCTCCAGAAGCCTCAGCTCATCTTCTCTCAGGGCCTCTCCTCTGAGGCTGGAGAGCCCCAGCTGAGCCAGCGGTGTCGGGGGAGGAGGGAAGGGCCTGGATCATGGGATATGGCATCAGTTTGCTGTACACCACACTTGTGCCAGGCACGCACGCAGTCTTCCATGGAGACAGGCTATTCAAGGCAACCTGCACAATGAGCCGTGTAGGAAGGGGCAGGCAGCACAAGCCATGGCTGACTGGAGGGGAAGCAATCTGAGGACACCTGGAAGTGGGGTGAAGGTGAGCACTGTAATTCAGATCCTTGGCCCAGAGAACATGGCAAGATGGTAAGAAACTTAAAAAAAAAAAGGTTTGCTGACTGGAGTTGGAGGTGCGAGAGTGGGGTCCAGGTTAACTAGGGCCCAACCACACTCAATACCACGTTCAACCCTGCAGACATCTTACATGTCACTGGGAGGCAGGGGGAGCCCCAGAAGGGTTTCAGCTAGGAAGAGGTGTGGCAAGACTGGGTTTAGAAAGATTACTCTGGATGCCAGGTCAGAACAGACAGAGGGGAGCCAGCTGGAAGGCAGGGTGGTGGTGGTGGCTAAAGGGACAGACGCACAGGGGGTGCACCTGTAGTCCATGTACCATCCCGAGGGATGTTTTAAGAGTTGCAAAGAACTTGGAAGAAAGGGTGACACATATCCCGAAGTAAATGCACCAGTGTCCACACTGAAGAGTGGCCAGGAGCCAGGCGGCTGGGATTCTACAGAGGCAAATCCAGAGTCCAGCTGCTCCCGCAGCCAGAAGAGCTGATATGAAGACACAGGAGACACTGGCCTCTCACGATAAACTTCATTCCAGTCCCCGATCCACGGCAGCAGCGCAAGAACCACGGGTGAGGGGGAAGCAGAGCACATGCATCAAACTCCGGAGAGAGGCTCACTGATGGGGGGCAGCTTTACTTTTATCCCTCTTTTTAATTTACATACTTATCTGACTTATTTTCTATAAACATGTATTTACATAGTGCCTCTTTAAAATTTTTTTAAATAAAAAAGCCACAAGATATCTAAAAGCAATTCAAAGAAATAAACAAACTATTAAAGCTGTGAACTGGCACACAGGCAGACAGTGATAAGAGTAGGTAAACGCACGACTTACCGATCCCTTTTCCATCACTCTGTTGAGCATGACCACGCCCCTGCTTTTCTGCTCCCACACCATCTCCCAAAAGTGACCGCATGTATTAGGCAGTGGGCCCTGCAAACACACAACCCACAAAGTGCATGCCATTTACACAGAACATTCTGCAGTGCAAGCTAATCATTGGCAGTTAGCATATAACAGTGCCCCGAGGCAGAGTGGTGGAAGAGGCTGGAACAGGGACCCACCTCTCCCTGCCTAGTGGTCAGTAACCACAATTCTACTTTTTAACACATGGTGAAAGGTCATTCCTACATCTCAGGACTGGTTCAGGGTTGACCAACAGAGGAGACAAAACACTGGTTCTGCTTTCTGGTTTGGGTTGGTCAGCCAAGGGGCTCCACTAGGATCCACCATTAAGGGTGGATGCAATATTAGGCAAAACTACCAGGTACAGATGACAGGCAGCATGGGAAGGTGATCAACAGTGATGCTCTGGTGACCTTGGACAAGTCACTTCATTTCTCATATCTCAGTTTCTCCACCTATCTGACTTGACTAACCACAGCATCTACTCATAGGGTTTTGAAAATTAGCTATGTTCACATATATGAAGGCCTTCCCACAGTGCCTGGAACACAGTAAACAACCAATAAAATGTTAGCTATTATTATTACTGTTAAGAATGGTAAACCTGACCATAGATAGCCTTCAACCTTGGACCAAGGAACATAAGCGACGTGGAGACACAAACGGTCAGTCAGGTGGCCCCAGGGGCATGGTATTACCAGGGCATAATGGGGTGACTGCTCTCACTCTGGCCCACCTGGCAATGAGCACAAATGTTTACTGGATACAGGGTATGAATGCTTCAAGTTGGTCTAAATTTTTAGTAGGTCCTGGAAGGGACATCACTATGACCTCTAGGTCAGAACATGTCATCTCCTCCAGCCAGCACTGGAATGGTTTCCATTCTCACGCATTTTCATCTAAATTCTCTTTATTCTTCACATGTTTTCCCTTGGAGTCTCCCCACGCTTTCCTTGCTCATGCAAACCTGAGGTACTCCCTCTTCCTTCCCTGAACTCATCTCAGACTTGCTGTCTGAACCACAGGTCCACACTCCACGTACGTGCCACAGGACTCAGACAACAGGGATTACACGCGTCTACCTTTCCCCCAACTAACAGAAAAGCGGCTCCTGGAAAGCAGGAATCACGTGGCCTCCTGGCTGCCACACAGGCCTTTCACCCTCTGACAAGAGCACGAAGGCCCGCTCCGGGCCTTCACAGCTGCAGCTCTCTGTGGCTCGTTACGAGCTGCCGCCTTCCCTACCTTCCAGTGCCACCCAGTCTAGAATGGGTCTGAGGGATTCAATATCACGGAAGATCTGAGGATATACACCAAACTTAGCCAACACTTCATGGGGAACGTGAAGGCGGGTACTGTTGACATTCTCTACACTTCTACAACTCGGATTTTTAAAAAGACTTGTATTATCTGCATAATGAACAACAATGAAAATAAAAAATGCACAGGGTTTTCTTGGTTTTGTGGCTCGGAAAAGGTTTTAGTTATACTATCTAGAGGTGCAACTTCAGGGTCAGGATGCTTCAATCCCTTTTGTAAATCCCAGGGCACAGGGAGAGCATGTCAGTAGCTAGATACATCCATGGTGCCCCCTGACAAAATAGACAGAATTTCAGATGTACCAAGTAACTGCCAGGGTATGGGGGTGAGGAAGACAGGATGCCAAAGTTTCCATGGTGATTTCCTTGCTCCAATGGACTTTATACATCCTATCTGTCTTTGCTTTGGGCTTCCTGACCCTACACCAAAGTTTAATGGCTGAAATCAGGAAGTAAGATTTGATTTCTACTAAAAACAGAAGTACCCAAGAAGCACTTTTGCCCCAGCCTCTCCCCACCAGCTTGCTACCACCAGGGATCTTCCTCCTTATCACCTCCCCCCTCCCGGAGCTCACCCCAACCACCCCAGAGGTGCTAGGTAAAGGCCTATCCCCTACTCACCTACCAAGAACTTAGTAGCCCCCCAGAAGTGAACACTGTGCGGCTGACATTCCGTACATCGACTGGGACACGTTTGGGTTGATTATGGTCATGGACAGGGGGAAATGGGACAGAACAGAAAAGGGGCAGAGAAGAAGGGCCACGGTGGATATGTCCTCATCTAGCTCCTGGCCCTAAAAGCAGCCCTTTTGTTCACAGTGCTTTCTGGCATCAGCATAATTTTAATTTCCAAATATTAGGCAGAATTCTGATGTTCAAAATCACCCTATAACCCAATAAGACTGATAAACTGATATGGAATAGAAAACAAAAAGAGAGAGCCCTGGCCGGTTTGGCTCAGCAGTTAGAGCGTCGGCCTGCGGTCCAGAGAGACCCGGGTTCGGTTCCCGCTAAGGGCACGTACCTCGGTTGCAGTTTGTCCTCGGCCCTGGTTGGGTTGTGCGAGTGGCAGCCACTTGATGTGTCCCTTTTGCATTGATGTTTCTCTCTCTCTCCCCCTCCCACTCTATCTGAACAAAATATGGAAAAATGTCCTCGGGTGAGTATAAAAAAAAAGAGAGAGAAACTTAGACTGTCTATATCAACTTACAGGTCACAGAATAAGACTTGAGAAAGTTAATCAAAAAGAAATTCCTTTATCACTATTCCCAGATACCTGCTGTTCCAGGCTTTATACCAGTAAGTATTTCACAAAAAGATCAATTATTAAACTACTTTTACGATTCCTTCCATAAAGATGCCAAAGCCAATGGGAATTTTAAGTGATTTTGTATCCTTGTTTACATAATCTAGTTTTTTGGGCTTTTTTTCCCCTGGACCAAAAAAGGAGGACCATGCCATGGAATTCTGAACGGACCTCTGGACAAAGGTTTCTTCCGGTAACTGCCAACCCTCTAGAGTCCCATGAGAAGCACTCCAGGCTCCGAGGCAAATACTCATGAAAGCAATGTATGCCCACGCCCTCCTCTAGCCACGGCTCCGCAGCCTCTGTAACAGACCTCAGGCCATTCTGCCATGTAAATGCTGTTCTTCACAAGCCCAGCAATGTCATACTTCTCAGAAAGATTAGTGTTATAACCAAACGAATCTCTGAAGGAGGATTTTCCCCCCTACCTTGTTTTTATGGGTGGTTTAAAACCTGAGCTTCTAAAGGATGTGGCAGATTTTATTTGAGGTGTAGATAACAGCGCTCTAAAATGCTTCAATTGACATCAAGTAAGGCAAAAACCATTAAAAAATATTCAGACACTCCTGGGTTTACCTGGGTAAGAATGTAACTTCTCTGTGCTTCTTCCATTTCTATCAAACTAGCATTGATATAGTCGTTATCTTCTTGATGGAGTTTAATCCGACTATGGTCAACTGAAAGGCAAATCAGAACTCAGAGGTTAATCCTGGACAGCCAAAGTGTCTACACAGGCATTGCACCCCATAGGGAAAGCAAAGAAAGTGAGTTGATAGCATTAATGGCATTCACACTGGCTGAGGCCATGCTTTTTAAGTTAAGAACAGTCATCTATATGGGGATAACTAGTACTTTCAAAAAGGTTTCTGAAGTGTTTAAAACACTTCAAACAGGGACAAATTACACCAAAACATGGATTACATCCTATCTGGGAAATCTGTTCTTAGGTCATATATTCCTATAACACTTATGACTGTCCTCACAACTTGGTAGGCTGGAAGAGGAGGTATCAAGAAATCTGTTCTCTGATGCCTAATATAGAATGGGGCAAAAGCAGGTTTATAGTTGTTTGTCTGGAAAATAATACAACAATAAATAATAACACAAGAATAACTGTGTGTATTCACAACTGTAAACCTACTTTTGCCTCACCCTGTATATACTTTAATAGGGTAGGATTTATTAGCACTCTTCAATTTAACCTACATCTAAAAGTTTAAAGATTAAATGGCCTAAGTATACAACAGAGTGAAAAATCACATCTTGAATTCTTTTACACGTTTTTCCCCTATAATTCAAGTATAATATACTTGAATGATTCGAAATCTTTCAAAGTCAGAATCCACCAAGATCAAAGACATTTAAAAGAGAGTCTAACTTGAAAAAGTAATGTTGAATCCAAAAAAACTGAAAGTATATTAAATGCAACACAGAATCATTTTTAAAAATAAACTCTCATTTGGAAATTCTGCCCAGTTTATTAAAAAAGTACAGCCACTTTTTTTCCCTTTTACCATGACTTTGTCACAGAAACAATGGTTCCCCGAGGGCCACTTCCCTATTCCTGCTAGTGCAGCTAACAAGAGCAGGTGACTATTTTTATTTCTGGTACAATGCAAGGGATGATGAACTCAGGCGACCACTCATAGATAGCATCTTCTCCTCAGCCCAATGGAAAAGAAGTTAATGGGAATAAATAAGTTGGGGCTTTTTGTTCTAAAAGATTCCAAAGAGATATTTTTGAAAATTAGCAACTGTTCGGAATACTGCTTCTTATTGTGGAGGGTTAATACGAACTGAAATACTTTGGTAACATGTAAGTGGGTCATGGAGATAAAATACCTCAGAAAAATTATGTGACTGGCATTTGTGGGTTATGTGAACGAGTTCAAACAGCTCTGGGTGACCTTGGGCAAACAACTCCTCTGAGCATTGGGTTTTTCACTTGCCAAAGGGAAGATAACAAGATCCCCTTCTACCTTGAATCACTCTCCCATTTCCCCCATAACCTTAAAAAAGCAAACTACTTTTTCTACTGGAGTGTGGAAGTAGGAGAGTAAAGAAAAATATGAGAAGTGAGACTGGGGGCAAAAAAGTTTCAGAATGTTTCCCTAGAAGAAATTTTAAATGCTTTCTTTCTCTGTAAAACTGGTTCATAAAACCATGTAGATAAGCACTGATCAAAGGTGTAAAAAAGGAGTATTGAACACATTATTGACTGTTTCAGAGCAAGTACAGCAAAAGCTAGAGACCAAGGGTACCTTCTGGAATTGCTGAAAGATGCAAATAGTAATTGTTCTTTCAAGCTCAGGACAGATGGCCAGGACATCACAGCAGAATCACTCAGGGAATTGTTTTTTTTTAAATAAAACCTCTGCCCTGGCCAGTTTTGCTCAGTGGTTAGAGCATTAGCCCACGGACCAAAGAGTCTCAGGTTCGATTCTGGTCAAGGGCATGTACCTCTGTTGCGATTCAATCCCCAGGCCTGGCTGGGGTCTTGTGGGAGGCAACCAGTCAATGTGTCTCTCTCATGTCGATGTTTCTCTCTCTCTCTCTCCCTCTGCCCCCGAGTCCCTTCCACTCTATTTGAAAATCAATGGAAAAATATCCTCAGGTGAGGATTAAAAAATAAATAAAATAAAAAATAAAACCTCTGCGCAGCCAGTGTGGCTCAGTTGGTTGGGCGTCCCATGCACCAGGAGGTCGCTGATTTGATTCCTGGTCAGGGCCCACGCTTGGGTTGCAGGCTCCATTCCCAGTAGGGGGCATGCAGGAGGCAGCCAATTGATCTTTCTCTCTCCCTTCTGCTCTCTGAAATCAATAAAAACATCTTTTTAAAATAAATAAAACCTTTTGATGTGCCACAGCCTAGAAAAGCTAACTCATGAATATTAGGTGTTGGGTGGGCACGATCATGTCACCTGATGACCTAGAATTGCACCTCAGATATCGTTGGCATTCACCTTCATTTAGTTAATGACCACCTCAACCACTGCCAACATTTCTGAGTGAGACACTGGGGTAAGTGGCCATTGTTACTTTATTCTATGGTCACACAACCCAACAAGATCAGTGTGAGTACTGTTTTACTGAAGGTCAGAGAAGAGAACACTGTGCCCAAAGCCACACAGCTATAAGTGGCAGGTGGAGATACAAACCCAGGCAGGGAACCCCGACAGCAGTCAGAAGCACACTGCTCTGTACCAATCTAGGTCCCCTCCTCTCCCAGGAACCTGGGTGCTGTACCGTTTAGGGCAGGGGGCACTGCTGACATGGACAGTGTGCTTTAAGAGGTGCGCAGGAAGTGCCTGTTTGAGGAACAGCCCACAGAATCTTCTCCCCTGGCACACAATACTGTCCTAGAAGATGCCGGCAGCTACAACCATCACTGACTGACAATGTCTGAAAACCCTGGAGGTGAGTCAAAAGGGCTTCTGTAGCCTGGAGGAGATGGCAAAGTGCATGTCCTTTACTCGGTTCCAGTGTGTCTTGCTTTACACACATTCTAACACATTTACTTATTTACTTTCAAGATATCAGTAGATTGAGAGCCAGCTATTCAGAAGGCAGAGGAGGCTGCCAGAGGCCAGCAGGCAACTAAGAGCTACCGGCAGGAAAGAGCTGGAAATACGATGGCAGCAGGGTGTAGGGTGGGGTGGGACTCGACAAGCAGAGCTGACTGGTGTCTTTAGCAGAGAGAGTGAGCCTTTCCTACCCTGAATGCCTCCTGCATAGGGCATCATTACAGCTCAATACAATGCTTGGGGTCTAATAATGTTGTTGCTGAGTCATCCAGAAAAGGTTATATTACGCCGGCTTTACTCTGCTTCAGCTGGTAGGAAAATGATTCATCAGAAAAACAGTCAAAGCTAAAAAACTGCTCTGAACTTTGCTGAATTTTCCAGAAAAAAAGGAAACTTTATCCCCTTCTACAACGGTGGAAAAATGAACCATTACTAAAAGTCTCTAATGTCTGTTATAGGAAACAATCGAGTCCTAACCCTCTACTGCTACGGATTCATTACCAAAGCCAGAGCTAAAGGGGTCCTGCCTGAGGCCTGAGCCGGGAGAGCCCGAGGCGATGGAAGCAGTGAGACCGGTAACGGTGACGTGAATACTTACAGGGACTGACATCTCTGTACCTGTTTCGGTTTTTGTTTTTGGGAAGCTTGGCCACTCTACATGGGAAGTCACTGGCTTCATGTCGGATATCCTATGAAAAAAGGATAAAGAGTTCTCTTTTGAAATTTCTGGCATCAGGGATTCATGCAGAGATTTAACCGAGCATGGGCTACGTGCCAGGCACGGAGGAAGACCCAGTGCAGAAACAGACGTCAAAGAGAGTCAGGCAGTGTGGGAAACCCAAGGTGATAATTCAGAGGCATGTACAAGGTCATGAGAGAAAAACAAAAGAGGAATAACTCCGTGGCTGGGGTTCAAGGAAGCAGTGTGGGGCTGGGAGCTGGACACATGCGGAAGAGGGCAGGGGATGGAAGGTGTGTGGGTAGGAGGGAATCCACTCAGGAACACCCAGCACAGCAAGGTACGGGGGCTGAAGTTCACATCTCATGCAAGGAACAGTGAGTGGGCTGGTGGGGAAGAATGACAGACGGCTTGCAGGTGGGTAGGCCAGACTTTTGAGAGCCTTGAATGTCAGTCCTGGGAGTTCCACCTATAACCTCTATAAAGTTATAGTTGTTAGAGCAGATAAAATGCACTTTATGCCAATAAACTATCCAACTGCTTTCCTAGGAGGTGGTAAACAAATTCCATTACACTCTACTGTTAGAGGAAGTGCCTGAATTAACAGAAAACCTGCATTAGGCCTCCTGCTAAACTGATTATACACATTTAATTTTGCCCCCCTAAAACACCACCATAATCACATTTAAAAAACCTTTTCTTCCTCATTTGTATTTTATTCTTATTTTTTATCCTCACCCAAGGACATTTTTCCATATTTTGTTCAGATAGAGTGGGAGGGAGAGAGAGTGAGAAACATCAACATGAAAGGGACACGTCGAGTGGTTGCCACCCGCACGACCGAACCAGGGCCGGGGACAAACTGCAACCGAGGTACGTGCTCTTAGCGGGAACCGAACCCGGGTCTCTCTGGACCGCAGGCCGACGCTCCAACCACTGAGCCAAACCGGCCAGGGCTGTATTTTATTATTATTAAAAGACAAATCCACACAACAATGTGAATGCATTTAATGCCACTAAACTGTACACCTAAAAATGGTTACAATGGAAACATTTTTGTTATATATATTTTACTACGGTTAAAAAAAAAAAAAAGAACCCACAAGGGAAGAACAGGAGAGAAGACAACAGCAACAGAATTTGGAAGCTGGAAATCAGACTGATTAATAGCTGGTAGGACTACCAGCCTGCAGTGGGGAAAGGAGAGAGCCACCTAATCTCCACCACAGAACCCTCCAAAGGCGTAGGCAGAGCTGCCTCTCAGGAAAGAGGGATGGGACTCAGCACGGGGGGAATCTGAGAGGAGCTCGGTCTCTGCCACCCTCACTGTCCCCGTCCTGCTGCTAGGTGACCGCTGCCTCAGGCCTCTGCAGAAAGCTGGGGTTTCTAGAAAGCACAAATCAGGAGGCAGAGTGCTCCCCTGGTGATCCAAGCAACAAGAGGAAAGACCTAAAGATACTCTCACCAGGGTGTGCAACTGACAACTAGGCTCCGTGGCCACATCAGGACGAACAAACCTCTTCCACCTGCTCAGAGCTCTCAGTTTGCCTTGTAAAATCCTACTCTTCACCATGTGCAGATAACCACTGGTTATAAGAGCAAAGCCTCTAGTATAAAAGAGATTTACAAGGGGGGAATAAACCACAGAAAAAAAGCCGTTTTAATAAACCACAGAGAAAAGAAAGCTTTAAAAATATATATTAATATACTAAGAAAGATAAGAAAAGATAATATACTCAGAAAGATAAGATACTGCATCCATGAATTAAGAACAGGATGTTACATAAAATAAACAAAAATGTCACCTGGAAGTTAAAAACAAGATAGCAGAAATGATAAGCTTAATTGAGAAGTCAGAAGATAAAGATAGAAGAAATTTTTTTCAGAAAGTAAAATCAATCAAACAAAAGCAACCATAATAGCAAAAAATAAGGCAAAACAAAAATACAAGAAAACATAAAAAAATAGTTCAAGAAAATCTTCCAGACCCATCAAGTGCTCATCATAATGATAAAAACAGACCCATATCAAGGCACATTAATTTGTAATTCCAGAATCCTGCAGACAAGGAGAATGTTCTATAAGTTTCAAGGAAGAAAAAAGTAGATGACCTTCAAAGGATAAGGTGATCAGAATGGCTTCTGACTTTGCCAGAAGAACACAAAAAACTAGATGGAAATGGAGCAATGCCTTAAAAATTCTGAAGACAAATGACTTCCAACCTAGAATTCTATATCCAGCACACTAACCATCAAGTGAGAATGGACAATGAAAACATTTCCAGAAAAGTAAGGTCTCAAAAACTTGACCATCTACGCTCCCTTTACTCAGCAGTCCAGTGGAGCATGTCTTCTACCGGAGGGGAGAATAAACCAAAAAGGAAAGATGTAAGATATACAAGGAAAAGAATCTGACACAAGAACAAAGGCAAAGGAAATTTCTCCCAAAGCTATGAAAGAAGGAGCTCTCAGGGTGATAACCATGTACAGACCTAGGAGGTAGACAGGCCAGATTAAAGCAGAATGACTCAATAGATAGATGTGTCAACAACATGCTTCTGTCCGTATACCAATTGTGGTCTCAAGGACCAGAGAAAGGCGAGGAAAAAACCTGGAGCCTAGGAATAGGGAATCCAACTGAAAAGCAAAGGAAGTGTCAAGATGCTAACTCTGTGTGACAGGCCTCCATCGAACTCCCCAGAGAGAAAGAGAATAGTGGTCTGTAGTAGGGATGTCTGCAAGGAAAAAACTGAAACTGAGCAGTCACCTGAAACTGCTCCGTCCAATACAGCAGCTACTAGCCACAGGGTTACTGAGAGTGCTTGAGACGTGACTAATCTGAAAAGAGAGGTTATGTAAAGTGTAAAATATACATCAGATGTTGGTAACTTAGTACTAAAAAAAGAAAGGAAAATATCTCAAATATTTTAAATATTACTTGTTGAAATAACATGTTGAACATGTTGGGTTAAGTCAACTATATTATTAATTTCATCTGCTTCTTTTAACCTTTTTCACTGTGGCTACTAGAAAATTACAATGAAGGGTCGCGCTGTATCTCTATTGGACAACACTAAGTGACCTTGGGAAAATTGTTCTGAGAGGCTACCAGAAGGTATGAGAAGAATTAGCAATAGGTAGGAGAAAAAACAAACAAAACGTTGCAAATGAAAAGAACAAGGCAATTATTAACTATAGAAAAAATTTTAAACAGCCCAGTACAACACTCTCTCTGACTACCATAGGCAAATAATGTAAATAATATTGTTTTTACCAAAGAATATACCATATTGGGAGGATGGCAAGAGAAAGAAAAGGGGAGAAAAAGTAGCAGATGGCTATTTAAGAAAATGAAATTTAGTTTAGTAAAGGCCTAAATTAATAACTCAAAAGATAAACATGTTCCTTAGATATTTGGATATATGCAATATATACAAGCTAGAACCAGTAGCTCAAGAGTTGAAAATTGTCATTGTGGGGAGAAAAGACTGGGGAAATGGCTTGAGGTGTGGGCAGGTCAATAACTGGATTTTATAACAAACCTGTATGATACTATTTAACTTCTTAAGCCATGTGCATATTTAACTTGGACTTTTTAAAAATGCCCACATCCTGCTATTCACTTACTAAAAAAAACTGCAAAATGGCAGGGACGAGTTTTTTTACTCATACTAGAGGATAAACCAAAAATTCAAAAGCATGACAACAGATTATAAGCCTACCCTTAGGTAGGTTTATAATTAAACAAATTAAGATAGTAGTAACACACACATCACATCTTTTATGGATGATTAAGCTTTCAGGAAAGTGCTACAGAGCACACACAAAAATAACTTGAAGAAATAAAAAATCAAAGTCTGAAGCATTTAGCCATAGGTACAAACTCTGCCTTGTGAGGTGAACAATCAGGTCAGTCCAGCTGGTGTGACTGGATGAAGATGGAAGAAATAATTAATATGGATAAACCACCAAATACTCTGAGTAATAAATAAGGGACAAAATATCCACCGCAGTGTGCAGCTGATTCACCCAAAGGATTATAAATATGAACTTTTTTGGTGCCAGAGAGAGAGTAAAAACTTGGATATGTCATTTAATAAAGGGAAAATAAGAGGTATTCACACAATAGTTTTTTAAAAACAGATTTTAAAATTAAGGTATACTCGTAGACTAAAATGCACCCATATTACAAATAATAAAATATATCCATTTAAGTTTCTCTACTTTAGAATGGCCTATGGGAAATATATGCTGACTCTGAATATAAGTAATTATATTTCATTTAGTAAAATAAAATGCCAGGATTATAGTCTTAAATTTGAGAAGTGATAAAATATCTTTTAAATTAAAGGTAATTACCAACAGTGGTTTAGAAATAAGTAAACTACTGTGCCATAAAATTTCATACAGAATTATAGCAAAACAAGATTTCTTCTAAAACTATCAAAGGTAGGCTAACTTTCAAATAGCTATAGAAAAAGGAGACTGCTCACTAATAAACAAGTGTCAGTTGAACTTCTATCACAAGCATAAAATATCCCTATTACCTTTTATTAAGCTGATTTAAACAGTCCACCAAGTATATAAAATCTCTACAAAATAAAATAAAACAAAGGCCTTAAAGCCGATGATGAGAAGTTGAACACTGAGTAAATTTAGGAGCCAAGCCAAAAAGGAAGTAATAAACTTGCCATGAAACAGGTTCCCAGAAGTCTCCCCTAGACCAAAATAAAGAATCATTCAAATGTACCTCAGCATTCCAGGGATGGAAGGGCACTAATTTGACAAGATAGATTTCCCAATGAATACAAGAGGATGACATACTTATAACAAAGCTCTGGTAACAGAATGAAATCATGCCCAGAGTGAATTAATTTCTGTATTTGTTCAGAATACAGAAAGCTTATTATCCATTATTCAAATACTCCCCAAATCCAATTAGGCAAAAAGTCAAACAGGTGGAAATCTGTCAATTTCTGATTTGAGAGTTCTATTAAAAAAAAAAAAAACA